TATGAAATGCATGATCGATGCAAATTTTATACCCTCTTGATGCCTCTGACATGAAACTGGTGACTAAATAGTAGTTATGTCCAAATTCAGACTAACCAAGCTTTTCACTCGTGAAGAGCTACCTAACTAAGGCTACATTACTTACTTGTGATACATGGTTTCTCCTAATAATAAAAAACATAAGGCTTCATACTTTTAATCTAGCCTCCTCATAAATTAATGGAGACTAATTAGGTTTAAGTCCCTTGAAGAACAAGTAGAACAGTTGCTAATAAACCATGGGACAATTATTATCTCTTGATTTTAACAAGTGGCAACTAATTGACTTTCGATTCCAATGATAAGTTGACATTATCATGTGGATTTAACACTATTTCACTCCCCAGGCAAACTCTCGCCGTAATGGTTATGTCACACACATCAATACTTAGTTTGCAATTCTAATAACATTAATCACATCATGTCATGCTCATCATACTTTTTCTCCATTAGACTTCACATATCACCGCATGCCTAATATCACATGTTATTCATTTTCATAAAGACATGCTCTTACTCATTATCATTAATCAGATACATAAAAATATGCTTATCATTCTCATCAATCCAACACAAACTTATACAACACATAATTTATCATATTGCTAAAATTTTTCATCAAATACAAGTAAATCTCTATCACGATTTCTAAATAATTTCTTTCAAATTACAATTGATTAACAAGAAATTATACAAGCTAAATTTTCTTAATTATTTTAAATCTTTGAGAGGTCAAATGTTTTTTCCCTCAACATAAACTTTCAAAGCACCAATTAGTTTAAAGGGTGCCAAATTTATTTAATCTACAATTTAACTATAAGGATAATCAATAATATCCTTATTTGGATAAATTCCAACATTCTAATACTTTATCTCATTATTCGCAACTTACTAAAATCACAAACTCACTTTCAAACATACCCATTTGGTTTACTAGCTTCCTTTAACTTACATTATTATTAATGAACCATTATACCACCATTAATGGTTATTAAATACTCTCAACAACTCTTTTTTCTATGAGTTTGTACGTATAGCTCATCTGAATTGAAAATTACTTTTTCAACTCAAACCCTAACTTAAATCCTTATAAAAATGGAAAACAAAGGAATGAAAGGAGTTTAAGGACCTTACCTTAGGTATAAGATGGCTTGGAATTGCTCTAAAACCTTTAAATTGCAAACCTTAGTAGAGCAAATCCTTAGTTCTTTGTCTCCCTTTATTTCTTTTTCTTTCTTTCCTACTTTGTTATGGTCTTATTTCTATAGATTTTCAATCATATGCCATGGCACACTCACCACATGCTGTGGTGCATGGCATAAAGAGGCTTCTCCTTCATTGATAACCATCTTTACACCGCAACGGACGTGTTACACATTGGGGCCTATGGCACAGAGATGCTCCATTCAAATTTTCTCTCTTTTTGATGCCTAGGTGACCTAACTTTGCTTTAGGCTTGAATTTAGAGCTGAAATCACTACTAAATACACTCATTAAACCTTTCTGGCCACACACCACATTAACTCACTTAATTACTATAATTAGGCTTGTTAATTAGGGTTAAATTTTTAGGATGTTATAGTTTTTCCTATTTATGAATGAATCCCTAGGATATCGTCAACTTTAAACAAGTTTTCTCAAATAACAAGTAAAACAAGTTAGGTTAGAGTCCCTTGATAAACATTGAGATGAGTGGCTAGCCATTGATTACTAAGTGGTGGCCATATCACATGAATTTATAACTACTCTTCTCTTAAGGTGAACTCTTGCCAATCATGATCATACAATGTTTACATACTTTACATACTTAGATGCCATTTCAACATTATTAGTCTCATCACATTTATTACAACTCATTCTCATTCAATAAATCATCACATAATCACATGCTATCTCATCATATTCAAGAAACAATATAACTTTCTTATTTAAATACCACACCGTCAGATCACTGCTTTTATGACAATAACTTTTATTATCAAAATCTCTTTTAATCATAGAATATTCAAACTCATATTTCACAACCATTTTTCCAAGCCACACTTGTATTAATAATTTTCTAAAATATAAACCAAATTATAGGAGATATAAAAATATTTCACATATTCAAAATGTGGTCACAAAACTCTATGATTATTGAACAAACAATGCACATAAAGTAAATTTTCTCAAGTTACCTTAGGTTAAATATTACCCCTCAATCAAAACTTACTTCTCGAGCTATTTCTAAGCTTAATTGATACCTAAGGTAGCTAATCTACAATCAAGACCATTAACCATCATTAATACTATCACAATCACACTTTCAACATTCTAGTTCCACACTTTGATTTCCTAAAACTAACTGTCATTGGATTTACTCATAACTAATGGGTTCATTAATTCCCTTTAACTTCCTTAAGCTTAACTACCCATTAATGGCTTCTAACAACTCAAAATCTACTGATAATATGTTGGATTGACAACTTGATAATAGTCATTGACCACAAGGCAAAGGCTATTGACAAATGAGGCATTAGCCCGTGACAAGTGAGAATTTATTAAGTACAATACTTTCATTTAAATCTAAATAAGTTATAAGATACTCTATTAATAATTTGACAATGGCCATTGATCATAAGATAAAGACTATTGACAAGTAAGGTAGCTTCTAGTGACAAGTGAGAATTTATTAGATGCAATACTTTCAATTAAAACGGAACAAGTTATAAGATATTGTATTGACAATTTAAACTCCTATTGATCAAAAGGTAGAGACTACTAATAAGCGAGCCATCAAATAGTAATAAGTGAAAAAAGTTATCAATATAAGAATTTCATTCCATAGTGAATAAGTAAGTGACGTTGATATTGACAACAAGGCAACACATATTGATAATATAGAAATTGGTAACGATAATGTTTCATAGCATATTGACGACTAGATTTACATTAGAATGGTCTGTATCATTTTGTAGCAAGAGGCTCTTGTGTATATGTATAAATGATTCATTCAAATGGGTATGTCATTTTTTCCTTTATTTTTATGAGCTACACCATCTAGAATTGTTCCCTCTTTTAACTAGTTTAGAAGCCCACTTTAAACCAATGATTCTATTGGTGCTCTTCTGGGCAATGAAGTGGGGAAGGAAATAACTATCTATTAAGCATTTTACATGACTCAAATGGACAAATTACCTAAAAATGCGTCATTAAACCCAAGTCTTCTGTCAATAATAACTGTACGATGAGAAGAGGAGTAAATTTAGTTGTTTGCCATATGAGTCTACATCTTCATTCTTTTTTGATTCTTTGTCTCTTCAATCGTTTTGTGTTTCCATGTCTGCTGCTTAATGCAATAGACTAAGTTAGCAAACCCAATTAGAGTGCTATCGGTCCTTGTTTTTCTTTATTATTTATATTTTTTCACTATAATTAGATTCATTACGTGAATCCATAGACAAGGAACAAGAGAGGAATGTGTGCTTGGTCATTGTAAGTTCAGTTTTAAATCAACTTAATTCTAGAAGAGCAAGTTGGTCATGTTAACTTCAATCTTAATCACCCTTGAGTCTCTATGGACCTAATAGATATTTATGGATATGATGGGACTTTTGGATATTAAAATGGGTATGTGAGACTTCATAGTGATTTTTTTAAATTTAAGTCATCTGAAGTTGAAATTTGTAAAATTAGGTGAAATTTGCATTTTTAATGAAGAAAGAGAATATTTTATATTTTATAAAAGGGTTAATGAGCAAATAGGACTCTGGCTTGAAAATCGTCCTGAACTCTGAACTCTTAAAATATGTAAAATAAATACAAAATTTTTAAATTCATAACAAAATAAACCCTAATCGTTAACTTTTTTAGCGTCGTTACTGTTCACGTGAGTACTGTAATAGTCAAAGTTAAATTTGTAGGAAAATAAATCTTGAACATACAATAGCCGTATGAACAGTAATGACATTAAAAAGTTGACAGTCAGGGTTTATTTTGCTACAAATTTAAAAGTTTAGGATTTATTTTGTATATTTTAAGAGTTCAGGATCAAGGACAATTTTCTAGCAAAAGTTTAAAGTTCTATTGCTCATTAACCCTTTATAAACATAATTAAATGAGAAAAAGATACTAAAAATGAAAAACTTCTCACAAATTCACAAATTTCAACTTCAAAGAATTTAAATCCACCCATATATATATATATATATTATAATTTTTTGAGAGAAAATCTATTGAACTCTGCTCTATTGTATATTATATTATTGGGAGAATTATATTCAATGACCCTTCAAGAAAATTAGTTACAAACAAGGACTAACAAATCTTATTGAAGAAAAAATAGGTCATGTTTCTATTTTAACAACAACTCATTCTATATTGATTCATGTTTGTAAAATTTTTTTTAGGAATCATTGGATGTAATTTTCCCTTTATTATTTTAGTTCTAGAAATTAATAAAATCTCCACATATTTGAATTCACAATTTTAATTTAAAGTGTGTGCTTATTGTTATTCAAATAGTTTCAGCTTGCGATAAGATCTTCATATACTCTTTTCGTTAAAAGATATAAAGCATTTTTAATTAAATTTTATTTTAATAAAGAAGTTGATTGTCTTCAAACTAATATTATCTTTCTATATTCACCTTTATTTAACAGAGTGTTTTACTTTAAAATAAATATAAAGTGATTTATTTTTTATGTCTACTTTTTAAATAAGTATATTAGCTATACCTTGAAATTTTAAAAATTTTTTATATTTTTAAATATTTAATTTTTTAAAAAATATCTTATATTTTGAATGAAAGGAATATATGGTTATTTTTGAAAAATCTAACTTAATTTTTTTTTATCCTCATTACAATTGACTTTGGTTTAACAAGAGACCTCCGGTAAGGTAAGTTCACACACGAATTAAACGACAGCGTTTGGTGGCTGCTTCTCTTGGTCATAGCTAAAATCGATTCCTGTCTCCAGCGTCTTTCACATTTTCCGTTCTCGTCACTGATTTCGCAGGGAAGAGGAAGAAGACGAAAAAGAGGGTGGCTTGACACGAAAAATTCAGCGAGATGAGTAGGAACGATTCCAAGTACTTCTCCACCACCAAGAAGGGTGAAATTCCTGAGCTCAAAGAGGAGCTCAATTCCCAGTACAAGGTTCCTCTCTGCATTTTCCTCATTTCTATGATTTTTCCGATCCATTATGTCCACATCCAATTCCTTGTTCACAAGTCGCAGATCCCTTGGGTTTTTCAGTTCTGGGTTGTTGTTCTGTTATATCGAGTCCTGTTATTTCTGGATCCACGTTGCAATACTTGGTATTATCGTGATACTTTGTGTTTCATGAATAATCTGGTTGTTTTTCTTTGATCTCTCAACGATACTATTTGGGTTTCTTTCGGTGTTTTACTGAGTGTTTTGTTTTTTGGTTGAGAATAAGTTGGATTTGAAGTAAATTGCACGTTCAAGTTGGACAAGCTCGATTCTGTGTTCTAAATATCGTGGGCATGGTCGATTGGTAAATAATTATGTAATTAATATTCCGATTTAGATTAATATTGATTGAGATATAAGTCTTGATATAGCCTTCAACTGCCAACTATCGTTGTAATGCGTTCTTACCCACCAACGTAACGCACTGTTACATTTGCCTGGGTTCCTGGGAGAGTTCATATGACCAGCCCTTGTTAATGGTAGTTAAATTTTAGGACTCAAATGCGAGCTCTGGGATTTATGTTTTATTGGTCTTCTCTTAGTTGCCTTTATAATATGCTATGCCGCCCCCGCTTATTGCTAGTTGAAATTGTACAGTGGAAAGCAGGTGAGCCTTAACATTTCTTACGTGTTTTGCAGGATAAAAGGAAAGATGCAGTGAAAAAAGTGATTGCTGCTATGACTGTTGGGAAGGATGTTTCATCATTGTTTACTGATGTGGTTAATTGCATGCAAACAGAAAATTTGGAGTTAAAAAAGCTGGTCTACTTATATCTGATAAATTATGCAAAAAGTCAACCTGACCTAGCAATACTTGCAGTGAATACATTTGTGAAGGTAAAACCTGGCATGAGCAAGGTTTCCTTTATTGTTCCTCATGACTGTTAACTGTCGATTTTGATGTTATGCTTAGGTTCAATTACTTCCTTTGTGAGCTTTGCATTCAACTTTGGTTCCTGAGTTTAAAGGCTAAGCATGCTTATATTGATTCTACAATTATACTGTAATTTATCCCGTTCCCCCCAGAATGTTGTGCTTCCATATGGTGTTCACCATTCATTATAATAGCAATCTGTAGCAAAGGCTTCAAGGTAATGTGCCAAAAGCGGTCATTGCCTATTGAGGACTCATTCAAATTTCCTTTAGTCAGAACCTTTTCTTCGCCACTTAGGCAAAACCTGTGTTGTTCATTCTTTTTTCAATCATTCTTTTTTTTGGTTATGCAATAGAACTTTTAAGCCATCCTTCACTATATATTTTTTCCCTTATTCTCTCTCTCTCTCTCTCTCTCTCACACACACACACACAATTTTAGTTCCTTGCATCGCTTAGACAAGGGCCTCTTTTTTTTTTTCTCTTTTTTTGAGTGCTTCCAGACGCACTGCCACCATTCTTGGAGAAAAGGAAGAGGAAAGGTGGTGGGGAATTCTAGTATATAAGTAGAAGATGCCCTTTTGATTTTTGAGATAGTGACTTCTGTGAGTTGAATCAAGTTTAGCCTGCTTTATTTACTCTAAATTTTAATTTGACGCAAGTTATAGTTCTTGAATTGAATTTCTGCACCCATCCCCCAGTTAGAGATTATTCTGTAGCTGTGAACTTATATCTTTTTTTAATTTTATTGACCAATGCTTCACAGGATTCACAAGATCCAAATCCTCTAATTCGGGCTCTGGCTGTGCGGACAATGGGATGCATACGTGTTGATAAAATTACTGAGTATCTGTGTGATCCCCTTCAAAGATGCCTAAAAGTAACTATGCAGCACTGCATACTTTTTCACGTTTCTGTTTTCACATTTTCTTACATTGTTGATAACAAATGCCAGTTTATTTGTATTTTCCCTTTGTAACCCCATACTTTGATATTATAATCTAACAGGATGATGATCCCTATGTCCGTAAGACAGCAGCTATTTGTGTTGCCAAACTTTATGACATAAATGCTGAGTTAGTCGAGGATCGAGGTTTCTTGGAGTCCTTGAAGGATTTGATATCTGATAATAATCCAATGGTCGTAGCCAATGCTGTTGCAGCACTTGCTGAAATACAGGAAAATAGTAGTAGACCCATCTTTGAAATTACTAGTCACACACTCTCCAAGCTCCTCACTGCTTTAAATGAATGTACTGAGTAAGTTCTGATCTTGTAGTTTTTTTCATATTGAAAATAAACGCACTTGATGCCTTGAATCTTGATGCAATTTCTCAGTATTTTGGGTTCGTAGTGGAACAGTACAATTGAATCACTACCATCATGCTACTTTAATTATACATTTGTACATTTTCCATACTGTACTTGATTATAGTAAACCTCTTATGGAGTTACATGTTCAGAATTAATAGGTCTTTATATTTGCATTGTCAGGTTCCTACTTTCTTATGGAATAAACCATTTAAACAACTTTGTTGTGTTTTTGAGTCACTTGAGCTTGCTGTTTTCTTTTCAATTTTCTATTCAGGTCCTGTCCCCATGGGTGATGTGTTACGATGACAACAACAATGACCAAATATTGGTCAATTATCTAACACAACTTGATTTTACTTAACATACCAGGTGGGGTCAAGTTTTCATATTGGATGCTCTTTCTCGATACAAGGCAGCTGATGCACGTGAGGCAGAGAACATAGTAGAACGGGTTACCCCACGGCTGCAGCACGCCAATTGTGCAGTTGTATTATCGGCTGTTAAGGTTATATTTTCTGTAACTTGTTATTTTGTTGCTGTGTCAATGCTGTTGTCTCAGAGTTTACATTTTATATGGTTTGCTAAGCATAGCTAAGTACTTTGCAGATGATCCTTCAACAAATGGAGCTCATCTCCAGTACTGATGTGGTTCGGAATCTTTGCAAAAAGATGGCTCCTCCTCTTGTGACTCTACTGTCTGCTGAACCTGAGATACAATATGTTGCCCTGCGAAACATCAATCTCATAGTACAAAGAAGACCAACAATTCTGGCTCATGAAATAAAGGTGATTTAAACACAATATTTTAGACTTGTCACTTTGTCATTCCTTGAAACCTTATACTTCATGATCAAGTTTTTATTCTACATGCAGGTGTTTTTCTGCAAGTACAATGACCCAATCTATGTGAAAATGGAGAAGTTAGAAATTATGATAAAACTTGCTTCAGACCGAAATATAGATCAGGTAAACTTTTCATGATGGTGTTGTCAGTTCATATTTGCCCCCCTTTTCCCCCTAGTTTCTGTAAATCTTGATTTCCTTTGTGAAGCTTTGCAAAATGTTATGTACTGTAGGTGTGGCAATGATTTATAATGTCACATGAATTAGATATGCATACGAGTTCATTCATTTGTTGCAGATTTGCACTTTTACCATGTTGATAAGCCATCTAAGTCAGTAGAACTTTTTTTCCCCCCTCCATGCAAAGCCTTTTGAATTTGCTGCTTCACACTGTCTAATATATCAACCATAGGACTAGTTTTGATATGTTTTACTCTTTTACTTGAAATGCCTGCAGGTTTTATTGGAATTTAAGGAATATGCTACAGAAGTTGATGTAGATTTTGTTAGAAAGGCTGTTCGAGCAATTGGTCGTTGTGCCATCAAGTTAGAGAGAGCAGCTGAACGATGCATTAGTGTTTTGCTTGAGTTGATCAAGATAAAAGTAAATTATGTGGTTCAAGAGGCAATCATTGTTATCAAAGACATCTTTAGAAGATACCCTAATACGTAATGCTATTTTCATTTTTCTGCATTTATCTAGAACAAAAGATTGTGAAGTTAGTGATTACTGATTACTTTTGTACTTCAATCTTTATTCTTCCTTTCAGATATGAGTCCATTATTGCAACACTTTGTGAGAGCTTGGATACCTTGGATGAGCCAGAGGCCAAGGTACTACCTTCCCTGCTATCTCTTTGTCATTTTTTATGGTGCATTATCGTGCATGTTTATCTTCTTATTCCCTTTCTCGTGTGGACAGGCATCAATGATTTGGATAATTGGTGAATATGCAGAAAGAATTGATAACGCTGATGAGCTTCTTGAAAGTTTTTTGGAGAGTTTCCCAGAAGAGCCTGCACAAGTCCAATTACAATTGCTGACCGCTACTGTTAAACTTTTCCTTAAGAAGCCAACTGAGGGTCCTCAGCAGATGATTCAGGTACTGCCTAATATATAGCATGTGTTCATAAAATTTTCCCCTGTTTTTGAATCATTTCATCTTAAAACTGATGACTTTGCACCTCTCGTTGCATCTTCATGGCTTATTGTCACAGATATGGGCTATTTTCAGTGTAGAGATATGTGCCTGTATGCTTTTGGTTGCTGTATTATTTTCTGAAAGAAGATCTTGAGTTCTTGTCACTATTTCAGAAGTTCCTCTTTGATAGTATATCTGGAACATTTGCTATAAGAATCTGATCTTGAAGAAAAATATGGCATTCTTCATTTATTATTAGAATAAGTTATCAATTTTTTTTTAAATAGATTCAGGCATATGAAGACCAGATCTTTAAGATTTCACCTGGACCAACTGCTGGAGGAATGTAATCTAAAAATGTGTTATTCGATCATTACTTGTCTTTAATCTTAGTTAAGATCAAAGTGTTGCCTTTCTGGTAATAAAGTAAAAATAAAATAAAATAAAAGGCTCTTTATTTTCCCCAGTATAAATGTTGTCTGTACATTTTTCAAGTCTTACCATACCAACTTTCACAGGTTGTCTTGAACAATGCAACTGTGGAGACGGATAATCCTGATTTGAGAGATCGTGCATATATATATTGGCGTCTCCTATCAACTGATCCTGAGGTTTAGTTTCTTGAATTTGAAATTTAGTCTCTTGCATGCATTTTTGCTTGTCTGCATCCACTTAGTTGTTATGCTTCTTTTCAAAATTTAGAGAACTGATGAGATGACAAAATATCAAGTGCTGCTCGCTGAATATGCTTCCTAATTGATAGAAACGGGTAAGGGGACCTGGCAAAATGTGACAATGAAAGAGGAACTCAATTGTTTACATCAGACTAATCCCACAATATTCATGACTTTGTACTTGACTAGAACTGAGATGCACTCTTAGATGGCGTCATGCTACAAATCCTACAGCATGCATGGCCCTTGCACTTGACTGGAACTGAGATGCGCTTTCTTAGATGGCTTCATGTTCTGGTGTGGTTGACCACCAGACAATTGTGTTTGACTGGATGAAAATTTCCCTACTTGCTTAGTTAATTCTTTGAACCCGGAGGAAACCTTTACTTACATTTCCTAAGGCTTAAGGCATCACAAGAGTTCTGCATTGCCCAAGTTTGCACTCACAAAAAACAGGATCACCCTATATTTGAATTCCCAAACTTCTCAAAAATAATCTTTTTATGTGCAAAACTATATCAAATTATCTTAATTTCTCAAAATTACTTTTTTTCCCAATAAGATCTATTTACATCCAAACATCTAAGCACTTGGGGTTTTGTTGTGGGAGAGCTATTCGACTTGTTGACTGGTGGCTCCTTGTGGAGAACTTATTCGTTTTTCATTCAGTTTTGTTTAATGTGCTTGGTATGCAGCTAGAATTGACAATTGACAATAGTAATGTTCTCAGTCTAACTTGGTAAAAAGTAGGGGTGTAAATCCAAGTCAGATTAAATGTATTGAAAATTGCAATTGACGATGGACTTGTCTTCCTCAGGCAGCTAAGGATGTTGTGTTAGCTGAGAAGCCTGTGATAACTGATGACTCAAACCAGCTTGATTCTTCTCTTCTTGATGAGCTTCTGGCCAACATTGCTACATTGTCTTCTGTGTATCACAAGCCCCCGGAGGCATTTGTAATCCGTGGGGTGTCATCAGCTCAAAGAGCTGAAGACGAAGACTATCCTGAGGGGAGTGAAGCAGGATATTCTGAGTCACATCATACTGATGGCCCTGTTTCACCACCTACTGCCAGGCAAGCACCTGTGTCCTCTGCACCCGTGGCAGCTTCTCCCGCAGCTGCACCTGTGCCAGATTTACTTGGTGATTTGATGGGCATGGATAACAATTCCATCGTTCCTCTTGATCAACCAGTTACTCCTGCTGGGTAAGAAAAAAGAGATCATTGTGTTGAATGGTTTGAATCATTATGAAGTCAGGTGTCCACTGTATGCTTTTCAATTTTGAATCATGGCATGCACTTCTCATGTGATTATAGAGGTCCTGGTAATTTTGTTGCAATCAATAGAAGACATGATATTGTGATCTATTAGCTATTTAAAGCTCTTTGGTAAGTGTTAAATATCAAAATATGACTCTTGAAGATGGGAAAGAGAAGACATCAAAATATCAATGCTCCATAAATTTCTTAAACCTTCATTGCTTAGTCTGCTTGTTATAAAATCAAACTTAACTTGGTCCTGTGCCCTCGTTGCAGGCCTCCATTGCCTGTTTTACTACCTGCTTCAACTGGTCAAGGTTTACAAATCAGTGCACGGCTGACAAAAAGGGACGGGCAAGTTTTTTACAGCTTGCTGTTTGAGAACAACTCTCAGATTCCTCTTGATGGATTTATGATACAATTCAACAAGAACACATTTGGTCTTGCAGCTGCAGGACCCCTTCAGGTTTCTAATTTTTATGGTGTTGCCTTATAACTGGGGATGGGACGTGTCTATCGCAGCAAGTTCCAATAGATTTTCACCAAAGCACAAGTTCTAACAGATGACTTTTTTCCTATCAGGTTCCATTGTTGCAACCTGGAACATCTGCAAGGACACTGTTGCCTATGGTCATGTTTCAGAATATGTCCCAAGGTCCTCCTAGCTCGCTTTTGCAGGTTGCTGTAAAAAACAATCAACAACCTGTGTGGTATTTTAATGACAAAATCTCATTGCACACATTCTTTACTGAGGATGGAAAAATGGAACGTGCTGCCTTTCTAGAGGTATGCTTTACACACACACACACACACATATCATCTTGTACGACAACAACAGGTTCCCTATACCAAAAAAAAAAAAAAAAAATCATTGGAAGCCGCACTGTCAGCCTCTGGTTCCATGCAATATACGTGCTTTGATATGTAATTAAGCTATATAACTAACATGTCTAGTTTCCAATTGGTTCCCTTGGAATAATATATAGCCTAACTACGAGTCAGATAAATTCCATTAAATGCTCATAAATGTTAGCTCAGTAGCTGGTTAGTTGGACTGTCCTTAAGATCGCCCAAGTAGCAGATTTAGATTTGGGCAAAGTCCAAGGACAACCGTTGCCTTAGTGTTGAAGGGAGAAAGATGAGTTGCATCAAATGCAAAACGGACTAATTGTAGTGAAATTTTACAAAATGATTTGTTCCAGTGATTGACTTGAATGTAGAAGTAGAAACCTGATCACTAAATCTGCTGCAGACATGGAGGTCCCTTCCGGATTCAAACGAGGTTTCCAAGGACTTCCCCAACCTAGTGATTGGCAGTGTAGAAGCAACACTGGAACATCTGGCAGCAACAAACATGTTCTTTATTGCAAAACGCAAAAATGCAAACCAGGATGTCTTTTACTTCTCAACAAAAATCCCCAGAGGCATACCATTCTTGATTGAACTTACCACGGCAGTCGGAAACCCTGGTGTGAAATGTGCAGCCAAGACTCCCAGCCCTGAAATGTCAGGGCTTCTCTTCGAGGCCATTGAGACTCTTCTCCGGGGTTAATTCTTTTTAATTCATATGCTTTTCCTTTTGAATTTAGATTTTGTGTTTATATGTTCTTCTTAGCGTCCGCAATAGATACCTTAAACTGGTGTGTTGTTACCTTTTCTTTTCTTAAAGAATCATCACCCAGTGAGTGACCTTTTCTGCTGCCCCAACCTGTATCTGCCATTTTGCCATATTGGGATTTTGAGAACTAAAATATTGTTTGTACTCTTTGTGGGCAGCGTTTTGAGAAAGGTTCTGTGACTGTAAGTTCTTGACTTTTTTTTTTTTTTTTGTACAATGATTACTTGGTGCTGTTATTATATTGCATGTTCACTTGTATTTTTGTCCTATACAACTTTATATTAATGAAGTAGCATAGGAAACATTGTTGAACTTGTTTTTTACGTGCCGTGTTTGTCAGATATTAATTATTAAATGGATGGATGGATGAAAGTGAATAATACGATGGGATAGAATAACAAATCAGCTGTGACCCTTGAGGGATGTTTAACCTGAGTGCCTAATTGACGAGAGAAGTTTATGATGGTATGTGTGATACATACATACATACATACATACATACATACATACATACATACATATCTGTGTGTGTGTTTTTTTTTTTTGGAATAATGTCTTCCATAAATTTTATCTGTCTTAGGCAGATTCTCTAAAGCTTTGATTATGAAGCGCATTAGGGTATTCATTTTAGTGTCCCAAAACGAATGGTAAACAGATGTATTTCAAAAACAAACGTGCATACACATGGCCAAGATGTGAATATGTGATTCAATTCTATATCAATTGAATTTAATTGCCAAAAAGTATGTACCTTACAATTTATAAATGCTATAGGTTATGAATACTTTCTTAAATTTTCAAGTAAAACAAATGTTGTCCGTTTGCTAATTAGGAACTCCATTCAAAAGTTGACTCTCACCTAATCAATTACTGTAAAAAGGGGTCGTCTCGGTCTGAATAAAAATGGGATGGAAGTGTATTATTGCAGGGGGCAAAAAGTCTATCCATAGTACTACGTAAAACAAAAGGTTTTCCTCAATATAACCAAACTTTTTTATTCACCTCTTTTGATAATGTATTGAAAAACAGATTGATTATTGAGTTTGTCAAGGTATTGGTTTAAAAATTAATAATTTAATTATAGATATTGGTTTAAAAATTAATAGTTTAACTATAATTGAATTGGAGTCAACCTAGCTATAATTAAAATAATTTAATTAAACCATAAAAAATATTTATATATAACCCTGACAAATAATATTTGAATAAAAAATGGCACTAATCCAAAAATATATGGAATATTCATATATTAATTACATATAATCCAACAAAATAGAGATACTAAAGTATAATTGACTACTATTGTTTTGATGTTAATTCAGCAAAGCATATAGGTATATGGAATATTTAATTAGCATACTACTCTTGTTTTCTTGAACTCAAGAAGATGTCATTCAAGATTTAACAAAAGGAGGGGGGAAAATCTAACCTAATTTAACTATCCAAAACTTTTGATCAACTGGTTAGAAAACTAGTTCATTGGTTCACTAATATGATTGATCAATCTGAGTTGGGTTTTTATTACTTGAATGAAATATTATAAATTAATAGTATATTTTAAAAAAAAATATATATATATATATAACCTATTCAATGTTTTATATTTTGTTCCACTTTAAAAAACATCTTAATATCTTATATTGTGGCCATAAGGGGAGTAATTAGATTGGTAGATATTCACATTTGGTTCCAAGAAAAAAAAGAGATAGGTTGACTAAAAACACCCTCGCGGGTCGGGTTACATACCGACCTCAAAAATCCACGATCCGTCTCCCGCTTAGGATGCCTTGATTTGTTGAACTTGTTTTTGTACAATCATGAATCAGAAGAAACTATTAAAAAAGAAAAAAGAATCAGAAGAAACTACAAAAGCAGACTGTGTGTTTAACGCCAACGTTTGTGGCAATAATGGAGGCATTGGCAAACGCATTTTCGGTGTTAGAACTGGACGCCGATGACAGCAAAGTTCCCGTCAACTCTGTTGCTTCTGTATCCACTGGGAGCACAAGCGCTTCAGGTGTCACCCCTGGCAAAATTTTCACTGATTTTGCATACCCTACTGCCTTTTCACTTCTTTCTTCAAATTCCCCCTCGTAGTTTCCTTATTAGGGTTAGGATTCAAGTACGAGTATTATGTAGACAGCCCAACATATTTTGTTTATGATTTTACTCTGACGAAGTTGATGGAAAATTTGGAAGCAATTATATATTCTTTTCAAAAGAATAGAAAACAGAGTGGGTTATTTTAGATTGCCGGTGTTAGTTTTTGAGCAAGTTACCAAATGCATTAGGTAATGCCAACTTGGCTTGAGAGAATTGGGCTTATTATTGACTGAAATAATTTTGGTCCCGTTAGTTTATGTGATTATTTAGTTGCCGTTCAAAGATTCAATGATTCGTGCGCTTGAGAAGCTTGAGCTTCATAATTATGGTAAAAGAAAAAGAAAAAAGAAAACGTTAGCCGTTTAGGGAATTGCTAGCCAGTGGGACTGCATGTGTTGATTATTAACTGATGGTTGGTGTGTGGTTTAAGAACGTATTAAATAGTCACTGATTATTAGCCTAAGGCCTACGATTATTATTATTATTATTATTATTATTATTTTTTTCGGGTTGTTTTTAAGAAGACAAGTTTACTAAGAAGAATTCAAGAACCTAAATTAAGAGATGAAGGGACTGCATGTGTTTACTGTGGCCTCAGAGGACGTATTTATAGAATTTCAAGGCCTCTGGTCAATTCAAGATCTTGCAAAGCCACTGATCCATCAATCATTCTTGGATATCCTCTCTTGGTTTAACTATGGGAAACGAATAGTTATTATGACATCTAATGTTTTTCAGTGACTATTTCCTAATTCCTTCTATTATACTGTTGCTCTTACTGATGTCTTCTAGACTGCTACGGTCAGCTGGCAGTTTGCCGTTTTGTTAGTTTACTATCTAGTTTTAAAAGCATTGGTTTTTCTTCTTTTTTACCCCTTTGCAACGGGCACACAACTAACTAACATATACTTTCGTGAGGCAGGTAGATGTGATAAGAGAGTTGATGGCTCTGCTGACAGTTCATTGGTTAAAAATGAGAAACAGAACCAACAAAGCATAGTGTCTCTTTCAAGTGAATACAAGTTGCCTCTTGTTTGGATTGACTTGGAAATGACTGGTAAGCATGTGGGAAGGGTTATTCATACAGAGCTATGCTTGTATCTACATTAGTAACCCCCCCTCCCAATTTCTACTCATCTCTTTCTGTTCAGTTGGTGTATTTTACAAACCTCAAGCACTGTGAAATGATAAAGCTTTTATATCTGAAGACTGAAGAGAGCATGATGCTTCTCTTTTGTAATACTTATAGAATAAATTAACAAAATTCAGTGACCCTATCCTTTCTGGCATAATTTTCAAGGAAACTTTGTCATTTTTTCATAGTATTCTTTAGTTGCCAATTGTATTATTATCTGTCTTCAACTTAAGTTGGAATATAGCCTGGTGATACTCAAACTCTTTTGGTGTTCTAATCCTTTTGTACCCACATAGGTTTGAATATTGAAGTGGATCGTATACTGGAGATTGCTTGTATAATAACAGATGGGAATTTAACCAAAACATTAGAGGTATTTTTGTTACTTGATTGTACATGGTATGTCTGTGCTGTTTTGTTTTTTTTTTTTTAAACTTTTCTTATTTGACCACTGCATTTTTCACGAAAACTTGCTTGCTTCTGGATCCAGCCACTAATCTTGATTTCAACTTTCCTATCTTCTGGAAATCTTTGTAAGAAAAAGTTGCTTATTTCATGACTTAAGGGATTGCATATTATCTCTGATTTGTTATAATAAAACTTATAATTACAAACAAGGTTTGAACTTGTAATCTTAGCCTTCAACGTCTTTTGAAAGGGTAAAGCTGCTGTTAGACCTAATGGTACTCTAATTGATAGAATCCATTGATGTCATCTTATGAGGAATGACTGAAATCTTTTCCTTTTAGTAAATCTTTCTTGGAGAGACATAAGGTGGTCGTCTCATTTGATTAAATCATGTGTATTTGTCATGTATAAGTAAAGATTTATTCCAGGACGAATGATCATGTTGTGACATTCATGAGTGGTAAATATCTGCCATTTTAGGGTCCTGATTTGGTCATCCATCAAACTAAGGAATGTTTGGATAAGATGGGAGAATGGTGTCAAAGTCATCATGCGGCCAGTGGTAAGTTCTTCATGCAATATCTGGGTCCTTAATATTTATTTCTTCTCTCTCTCTCTCTCTCTTGGGCTTTTGTTTTGCTAATGGTTTTTAATATTTCTTAAGGTTTGACTAAGAAGGTCCTGAAAAGTACTATTAGTGAAAGAGAAGCTGAAAAGCAGGTTTGTAGTTGCCATTCCCTGTAATTTGCCATCTTTCCATGAAAACTTGTTTACTTGTCATATTGAATGGAAATTATATTTCCATGTATGGCCAATGACCATGAGAGAATACGCTTTTCTCTTTGTTTATTTTTTTGGCGAAGCTTTCCTCTTTATATATAAATGGAATAGTATTGCATAAAAAGCATGGAGTTAATATTACTAATTGAAGAGCAAAATGATCTTTTATTTGCTAATAATTAATTCATACTATTATTTTAACTCAAGTTGTGAGGATGCCAAGTAATCAATAAAATGTTGGAGTTCTCCTTAAAAAAAAAAAAAAAAATGGTGGTCACGCAGTGTAAATGGTTGTGCTTTGTGAGGTCCACATTGTGATTTGACCTAAAAACTTCATGTAGACTAATTGAAGCTGCACTTAGAAGTTAAGTTTCAACTCACGTTGTGGACTTCAAATTGCAATTTCTTGCTCAAATTAAGAGATAATTTATCTACGGTGAAAATAAATTCTGCATTCATCCGTGGTCCATTGAGTTGGCCATTTATAAAACTTGCTGGGATTTAAAAGTCTCATATATTGAACCAATGATATTAGTGCCAAGTCTTACATGGTTATTGCTTGTGTTTCTTATATTGGTGCTAGACTTGTTGCATCAAAAGCATCTGAAAAGTTACATCCTTTCTTACAAATTAATTTTTTTAGAATGTGACATTTAAATTTCTGTGATGTTCTTGTTTCAATTGCGATAATCAATTTTCTTTTGCACTCTTTCCGTTTATACTTTATTATAAAATTGTGATATCTTGGAATATTGCAGGTTATTGAATTTGTAAAAAGAAATGTTGGTTCATATACACCTCATCTAGCAGGAAATTCGATATATGTGGATCTTCAGTTTCTAAAGGTATTTGCTTCTGACATTTTTATAGTAGATGGTGATTGTTTTGGTTGATGTTATTTTTTAAATATACTAATGGTATTTGGGTAATTTACAATTATAATAATTAGTATTTATAGTATTATTCTGTGGATACAAATAATGCATTTTACTGGGAAATGAGTTGTGGAGTGTTTGGATCTCTGGCTTCAGTCCTATGATCCCAAGGATTTTTCTAATACAGCCATATATAGTACTTTCACACACATTTCGACATACAAGAAATAACTTAATTGAACTTTTGCCTCCTACTAAGTCATGATTCTTTAGTACAATGGTGTAATGTTGTTGTAATAGAAAGTTATTAGTCAGCTTCCATTTTATCCTATTGTTCTTATATTTTACTGTTTTGTCAACTTTAACCTGATCCATTTATGCAGAAATATATGCCAGAATTAGCTGCTCTCTTTTCTCATGTGCTTGTTGATGTTAGTAGTATTAAAGCACTCTGCATTCGCTGGTATCCAAAGGGTGAGAATTTTTATTATTACTGTAAATATTTTTTTTGGGGGGGGAGGGGAGCTGGTAACGCGGGTTAAACTTTTAAAGTTATAATTCCTTCTCTTGCTAAAATTGTTTGATTATAATCGTTATACAGCTCCAGTATTTGTGACTGCATTATGTTCTGGATCAATCATGTTATGAATAAGGTTATTTTTTCCCTTTTGTTTATCATGCAATTAAAGTCATTTTTGTTTAACCTAAATTTAACACTGAAGTTAAAAAGGCTGTTTTTTATCGCAAGAAACTCAAAGTAGAGGAATTATGGATTTGCAGGATTTCTTTAGGTATTTTGATATACTTCCTTCTAAGCTTTCCTATAAAGGCATATCATTTATGCAGATCAGAAGAAAGCACCTGCAAAGGAAAACAAACATAGGGCCATGGATGATGTCAGAGAAAGCATTGAGGAACTCAGATACTACAAGGAAAACATTTTCAAACCCAGGACTAGGAAGTGAAACAAGTTTGCAGATAAGAAATGGTGCTGATGGGTCTTAATGGGAAGGTATACAAAGTAAGTACCAATCTTGATACCATCATTTGTTATGGAAGAAGAATTAAGCACTAAGTGGATGGTTCAAAGTGATTTTGGAAAATTGTATTCCCAATTGTAAAATCTCATTTGATCTTTGTTGTATATGGAACCCTGACTTAGTGCTTTGATGAAATACCAATTCCTTCTCACTGCAATCATGCAGATTTTTTCAACGGAGGAAAACAAATTTATATTTTACACGATGCCTGAAGGAAATATATGGTGGCAAGAAGGGGCTATAGTAATTTTTTACTTCCAGAATTTTCACAGGTGGTGGATTGCATTGAGCGAAAATCATGAAGATTGCATCTCTTGTTTGTAATGTTTAAATGTGGGTATGGGGTGGAAATAGGTTAAGAGTTTATCAAGTGGCATGTGGCATGCCTTGATTTGTGGTTGGCTTGGCCTAAACTATTTAGCTTAGAGATCAGACTCAAGCCAATCCTACAACCAGTCTTCTTTAAATAGGCTAGGCCATTATACTTTGAATGTCATTTGGAACTTTAAGTTAAGCTGACCTACTTGTATGTTTGTTTGTATGTTTATACTCTCTTATTGTCGATCCATAAGTTACTCTTAACATGATTTATAAAATTTAAGAAAAATTTTAAAATTTATTAATTTATATAAATATTTAATAAGTTTTCAACTTTATTCTTACTAAATGTAGATTTTTTTAATAATATATTTTCTCTCACAATACTTAATGGCAAATAAAAAGAAAAATTTATGATAAAAATTTAATGATGATATATAAATAGGACAAAATAATTCTGATCTCTTTATCTTATAATTATGATTGGAGGAAATGCGTGTGTGGGGTTAGTAGGTTAAGTTATATTTTTAATTCATCTCATTTACTTTTAAAAATAGTTTGACTTTAGTTTCAATAAATGATGTTTTCCTTCAAATTTGTTTAATAAAATTTTAGCTACTGTCGGCAACCAAAAAAAAAAAAAAGCCAACGTTTATTTTAACATATTTGGTCCGTCCTTGTACGTGTGCAGATCCAAACTAATCGTGTCCAGGTGCGGAAAGAAATTTTTTTTTTTTTGTTTTTTTACAAGTGCCCTCCCGTTAAAGATAATTTTGATAAAAATAAAGAATTACAAATAGATTTTAAATAAAAATATTATTTTTTTATTTTTGAAAAATACGGGATACAATAGTCCATACAGGAAACAGTAGATAGCTAGTTTACATATGTCGTCCGAGCAGTCTCATTATCCACCATTGCCTTACAAAGGATGGTGGTTGATCCCAAACAAAAAAATTTTCTGAAGCATTAACCGCTTGCTTAGCAAGCTTGTAGGCACAATAATTGGCCTCTCAATATATGAAATTCAAAGTCTTACACTCATATCTGTTTGAGAATTGCATATATGCTCAATAATCTCTTTGAAGGGGTGTTGATTTAAGTCTATATTAATAAGAAAATTTATAACCTTTTCGTAATCAGTAAATACATTGACATTTTGAAAACCTAGGGTATAACATAGCTCAAACTTTAAATAATTCCAATTAGTTTAGCAATAGCAAGGGAAAATGACCAACATTTGAACTAAAACTTGTAACCTAGTTAGTGTGATTATCCCTGGTAACTCCACCACATTTGAAGATACCATCTTTATAAGATTCATCAATATTTAAATGAACCTCATTACTAAAAGGATGGAATCAAAAGTGATGTGTGCTTTGTGTAGGAATAACGAGGGTTGTAATGGAGTTGAGAATATTCAAACCAACCTTAACCCTTAGAAAGATAGCTACATTTGAATGAATCACTTCTCCTTCATCAACAAAAAATAACAACTTACATCTATGAAATCATATATCCCAACAAACATACCCAAAAGGAATATTCATGGTACTTGTTGTCGCACATGAAAAAATGCGACGCGGACGACGCGTGAGCGGAGGTCCCGGCCTTCGCAGCGGGAATTGGATCGAATGAGGAGTCGCCACCAGGATTTTGAGGAAAATCCCGGAAAACCGATTAATGGGAGGATAAAGTTGGTCTGCGAAATTAGAGAATGGGTTCGGGAGTCGGTTGAGTGTGGAGAAGGTGTTAGGCACCCCACAACACCCGTTCGTCAGAACTGTTACTTGAAGTTTGTTGTGCTCTACTAATATGGTTTTAAAATTATTTTAATTATCTTTTTTATATTCATGTATTTGATATAAAAATGACGATAATTGAGTGACAAATATTTATTTATTTATGAGGGAGGACGAACTTGACTCAGAATCTGACTTTGAAGCCTACGTACCCTGTGGTGGGGATCAAAGTCTACGTAATTCAGACTTAAAAGTTTGTTGGTGAAAATATTTTTAAAGAGAAATTAATTAGAAATAACTCACCAGTTTACAAATAAAACAATTTCTAAAATTTTGATATGTGTGTTTTAAATTGCAACTTTGCAAGAAGTAATTTAATTTTAATTATTTCTCAATTTTTAAATTTTTAATAAAGAAAGGAAAGGGTTTAAAATTATTTTTATTTTTTTATGTTTTATGATTGAGGATTTAATTGCAGTATCTGCAAAACCTTATTGGTTCATACGGCAATGCAATTGCTCTAAATATCTGCGGAGATTCTGAAATCTCACACGATAAAAGAGTTTGGCTATTTAATTTATTTATTTATATTACTATGTATATTTTTAAGTGTTAATAATAATTTTTTTAGCATGTAGATACATGTTTTGAAGAATTTTAATTAACATACTTGCAAAGTCTTATTAACTTATATGGTAATATGATTATCCTAAATATCTGCGGAGGTTCTAAAACCCCACACGATAAAAAAATTAAATTTAAATACGTCTTTTATATAATTTATATATTAAAAAATTAATCGTTATATCTGCAGAGTCTTATTGACTCATACGATAATACGATTATTTTAGAAGTCTACGGAGATTCAAAAATCTCACATAACTAAAAGATATAATTGGTAAATGTGATTATAACTTAAACACATTAATTTGGTTAATTAATTTTTAAATTGTATATTATATGATTATTTACAAAAATCATTTATTTATTATAGAAATTGATAATTACTACATTTGCGAGGACTTATTATCCCCATAATGATGTGATTAATTTAAATCTCTACGAAGATTCTTGAAATCTCATATGAGACTTAAATAAATTATTAATCTGGGTTATAAAAAGAGAGTTAAATTTAATGATGGACCCTTTGAACCCATATTAACATATAAGTTTTATTTTCATATATGTGAAACCTTATTGATTTACACGACACGAGATTATCTTGAATATCTGCAGAGATTCAAAGTCTCACACGACAAAAGAATTAAATAATATTCACTTTGAATATATTTTAATGTGTAATTATATGACACATATTTTTTTAATATAGAAATATTAATCGTTATACCTGCAAAGCCTTATTGACTCACGCGGTAGTATGATTATCTTAAAAGTCTACGGAGTTTCAAAAATCTCACATGACCAAAAGATATAATGGGTAAATATAATTATAATTTAAATCATTAATTTATTAATTAAAAGTATAAATTTTTTTTTATTTTATTCACAAATTTATTTATTTATTTACCAAAAAAATTGTGAATCACGATATCTGTGAGAATTTATTATCTTACCTGATAACGTGATTAATTTAAGTCTTTACGAAGATTCTTGAAATCTCACATGAGACTTAAATATTTTGTATAAAGAGAGAATTAATTTTAATAATGGGCAATATATACAAATTAAGAATCACAACATCCGTGACCCTAACAGTAAATGACAAGCAAGAAGAAATTATGCAGGGCATATAAAAGAAGAAATTAGAACACTACAATATGATAAACACAAATAGTCACCATGGAAATTATGATTGTAATGAAATGAAACTCCAGAGCCATAGGTAGCAAAAATTATCATTGTAATTATAATAATTGTTTCATCACAATCAATAAGACATAAAACAAATTAATAATTGTAGAGACAGCAAAGTTGAAAGTAATAATTTGTGACCCAGAATCATGAAGTGTATTATTTAAAAACTTTAAAACAAAATGGCATTAAGAAACCATTAATCTGAACCACCATGAATAATCAACCAAAGTTCATTAGACCATGAAACACGAAGCCACTTTTAATTTTCATATTCAATTACTAAAGTAAAAGTGAAATAGTAACAAGTTAGCCCAAACCTTCGAAGATAGTAGAATCTCACTTGAGGACGAAGCCATAGCTGAATGTCACTAACTCAGTCTAAGCACTCTTAGAAGCAATACCTTCACAGATTCAAGTGAAATCCGCAGGAAAGGAGATGGTGGTGATGTCAACGAAGTCCCCTTCCAATAGCGTGAAGCTCTTTATTGTAGCTTCCTCTTCATTCTCCGTCTCTCTCTCTCTCTCTTGCTCTCCCTCCAACCTCATGTGTGTGCTCTGTTTTTTTTTTGCTTTCTTTCCTTGGTTTTTCTCTCCTCCTTCTGAGTTTTCTGGTCTGTTCATGATCTATTTTATTTCTTCATTTTTCGTCTAGCTGCGTTCTGCACCTCCTCTCTCGGTCTCGTGCTCTCTCTTTCTCAGTCTCTTTCTCCCTCTCTCTCCTGTGTCTCTTATGCTCTGTTTTGCTCTCTCTCAGTCTCTCTCTTCTCTTCCTTTTCTCATCTTGCTGAAAGTCCCGTTACCGGCGTGTTTTTACTCTGTTTTTTGCCTTCACCATCTCTGCTTCTCATTTCTGGCTCTCTCTCTCGCGTTGTTGGCTCTTTTTTTCAGTTTCAGATCAGTCTCCTTCCTAGGTCTAGTCAGTCTTTGTTTTTTTTAGAAGAAGACTCATCTCTCTCGGTCTCTTGCTCCTGCTCTCCCACTCTTCTTTTTTCGGGAAAAAGCTCATCTCCTTCTCGATCCCTCCCCCTTTTTTAGCCGAAATAGTCCTTCTCTCTTTTAAAGTAGAAACAAGGAAGAGCTTGCGTGTAAGGTGAGAGTTTACATGCTTTCTCGCTCTGCTCTGCTGTGTGCATGGGTCTGAATTTTCTTCTGCGTTTCTGTGCTTTTCTCTGTGGTCTGTGCTTCATGCGTGCTTCTTTACTGCTGTTTCGTGTCTCTGTTTCTGCTATTTTCTTCTTTTTCTGCTGCATGGCCGAAAGTGTGTGTGTGTACGTGTGTTTCGTGTGTTCATGCTGCATGTATCTGTTTCTTTTTTTTTTTTAGCCATTCTTTAATACCTTTTTATTAATTGGATTGAGAAAGAGAAAGAAAAGTCTAATTTTAAAACATAAATGGAAAACAAAAGATTTAAGGAGAGAAATTTAAAAATAGTTGAGTCTTAAAAAAAATTGATTCCCAATATTTTTGAATAGTTGGGATAATTAGAGAGAGACTTTTTTTAAAAAAAATTAAGCAAGATTATTTTTGAAAATCTAATTCTAAAAAAGGATTAAATTTCATTTTTATATTTTTTATATTTTTTGATTATTTATTATTAAATTAAAAAAGATGCTCGAACAAAATATGGTGTTCACACTTATCTTGTGGGTTCCTTTCGGAGAGAGCATTTAAGGTTTTAGAGAATTTATTCTTCACTTTTTTTAGTTTTTAAATCTGTTCTACTCCTCCGGTCTGACTAAACTCTTTCACCTTTTCTTTGCATGTGAGCAATCTCTCAATACGTATAACATGTCCTCCTTTTGCATACATCCTAAAGGGCACTACTCCTCCATTTGAATTTCATGATTAGCACGTAATTTTAAAATGTGTAACTTATTTCTTGCCACTAGCCACGGATGAATTTTAACCTTTTTAGGACTTGCCCAACACCTAGTTTTGCTCCCTAATTGCTTCAGCAACAGATGATGTGTCTAAAGCAAGATATGCAGAATGAATATTAAAATTACCATTAGAGGATAGTTTCCACACAAAATTATCTTCTCCCCTCTAAGCTCTCGAGATACAAGCGCGAGCAATATGGTAGAACATCACTAGGCAACCATTCACTCATTCTAGTGATGTTCCAATCACTAGATTCATTCACAAAATTCGCCACTTTGCTCTTAGCATTATAAGCATGCTGGGTTAATGGTCTATCAACACAGGACTAAATATTGGTCCAAAAATTAATATTTCTGCCATTGCCAACTTTCTTCCCTACTCTTCTAGTAAAGCTCTACCAACAGTCACATATGCTAAATTATTTTTTTTATTTAGAATTTATAATTCTTTTGTCATGAATCTATGTATAATTTTTCATTTCAATTACTTATATATCATTTTTATTACGTTTATAATATGTACGTAATAATCTTATAATACTAACGTCAGTCCTTATGCATCCATATAAAATGTAAATGGGTTGTATTCTTGTATTATTATTTTGTAATTTAAATAGTGTGACTTCTTAGATACTTTTATATTATTATTATGTATGAATATATATTTAATCAATTATAGTTTTTTACAGACCAAAAAATAAATAATTTTTCAATTTTCTTTGGTAAAGGATTTTTTCCCCAAAAAAACTTGTGAGAAAAAAGGTTAATTTTTAATTTGAAAGAATTACAAATATATCTTATGTAAAAAAATTAATTACTATAAAATTTATTGATAATTAAATTAAATTACATTAAAAATCAATTATAATAAATTTATAGTAATTATTTTTTTATATAAAATTTTAATATAATTTTATAGTAATTAATTTTATAGCAATTAATTTGTCCTTTAAAATTTTCATCGAAGGGAAAAAAGTAGAGAAAACAAACCAGAAGAAACGCGCGTCTAGTCTCTGTTCATTCAGGTTTGACAGTTTGGTGAGAAGAAAAAAGAAACTTCAAACTCGAGCGTCGAGGCTGGTGCGTCTTGTGATCTGATTTCTTACATTATTTCCATTTCAGTTTTATTTAATCTACAACCGAATCAGAACGGCTCGTTACCGCATTTTCTGTGTCCTTTTGGATGTGATTTTCTTCTCGAGGTGACCGATTTAGAATCTCTCTTATCAAACTAGGCTGAGATCAGTCATAGGAAACTGGAATTGATAGAAAGTGAGCTTTTCCCCTCATTTTTTGAGTCTGTCTTCTCTGAAGCTTCATGCTTGACAAGGTGCTGTTGATACACAGCTTGACCGGAAAGAAATGGTGAGTTCTGGAAGGAAGTGAGTGTGATTGGGTTGTTTTATTTTTATTATTTATCTAGATATACTATCGATTTGAATGTTTGTTTGATCAGAATTTCCTAGCTGGGGCTTTCAAACCGCCGTGTAAAATCTCAATCTCATTGGTTGATGGAGGAACTCGCAAGCAGGTATTGATATTTTCTGTCACTTCCAATTAGCCTAGATGAATCTCTAACCTTGTGATTTTTGAGGTTTCTTTAGACATTCAAATCAATAGGTAAAAAGCCTCAAGTTAACAATAATTCTTGGAGTGGAAGTTACTCATTTATTGGTCATTCTCTACCCAAAAAAAAAAATGCATTGACATCGTCTTCAGGACGCAATGAATAATTTAAGTCCTTGCTCTTGGGCAAATCTCCAGAGACATGCCATCATAGGCTGAGCCTATCTGTCCTATAATGTAACTTCAAGTTCTCTGTGCCTCTAAATCCTTGGGGGTGTCTATAAGAGACCCTAATATGATCAACACATCACTAGAAAATAATATTAAATGCTGTCTGTCAAATTGCCTCTTGCCTAATTGACAGAATAAGATGTTTGACCCAGGCTAAATTTTATAGCTTGAAAGCTGGAATAGCTTGCCAAAATCAGTGACTTCAACTCCTCTAACTTCTTTATCTTTAGTGTGCTCTTTTTTTTTTTCATTCTTTTGCCTTTTTTAAATATTTTTTGTTCTACCTGTTTCTATCTTTTTTCTTGTTTCTACTAACTTACTAAGCGAGAAGTGCTTTTAGCTTCCAACTGCAGGGAAAGATCATATATCTTTCAATTTTGTTAAAAAGTTTTAAGAAATTCTTATTTTATTTTACTTTTCTCACTATTCTGTTTTTTAAGGTTCCGCTAAAGAAGGAAAATGGTCAATCAGTCATGGTTCCTCTCTTTCGTAGTCAGGAGAACATAGTTGGAGAGGTACCTTACATGCCATTCTCAGCAATTTTGCCTTTCTTCCACTCATTTTCAGTCAGTGCTCAGCGGAATTTATTTGGGTGATTGTGGCAATTGGAACTCAGTTGATTTGACTTTGGTTACAGGTTATCGTAGAACCTTTGTATGGGAAGAAGGTGGAACATAACGGTATTAAAGTTGAGCTCCTTGGTCAAATAGGTGTGCTTCCTTTTACTTCTCCGATTCAGGATAGTAATCTGTACATTGAATAAGTATTTCCATGGATAATACTACTGTAACTGCATTTCAACTAATTTTCCTTTGTTTATATATATATATATATATTTATAGGAAATCTTTGCTGCATTTCATGGTTGAACTACACACAATATTACTTTCAAAATGTTTAATTCTAGAATTTTGATTTCTGAAATTATCTGTCTATGCCGGATTTTTTTTTTTTTTGGATGCATTTTAGAATCCTTCCTCGATTCTCTGCCTATAACTTAGGCTTTACTTCAGTACTTTCTAATACTGTGTATTTAATATGGTGCTTCTTTTCTCTCACTTTCAGAGCTGTATTTTGACAGAGGCAACTTCTATGATTTTACATCACTTGGTATGTTGATGCTTCTATGGCTTAGACCTTTTCCTTCTTCCCTCTTTATGGTATAATTGCATAAATTAAATGTTGATTTCTTTTCTTCTCATATCTCTTGTAACCATCTGCTGGGGACCATCATTATCCTTTTTACATTTCACTGTCTACAATTGGTATGATTATTCCACAAAATCTTTAATTGCAGTTCGTGAGCTTGATGTTCCTGGGGATTTATATGAAAGGAAAACGTATCCTTTTGAGTTCTCTACTGTTGAGATGCCATATGAATCATACAATGGAGTCAACATAAGGCTTAGGTACGATATTTATCCAACTTCTTTGGTAATCATGAATTTCTGTAAATTTCATTTTCTCCTTATTTCCTTCATGGTGCTGTAACTTTGTATTGTCAGAAAACAATAGTGTCCAACTGAGGAAGTGCATGATGGCTATTTTATTTTTTATGGATGTATGATATGGGCTTATTGCAGAAGTTATAAGATACTAAATGCAAACAAAATAATTTTAATCAAGCTCTGACTGTTCCTTTATATTCTTATACGTGCATGGTTCTTATATGATTAGATAAAACATTCCACACTATGATGGGATTGAGCTGGATGTTTATAGAATAGTCACGTTTATCATAAATCATAAATTAAGCCGAAGTTTGGATGACCAGCTACAACTTTGTATTTTATAAAAGCACCTTATTCTTTGCTCATCAATTTTGGGTTCAACTTATCCATCAAATCAACAATTTGATCTAACTACGTTAGTCCTTGCAAGCTAAATCTGTTTTTCCTTTCCCTTTTGGTTGAATTTGTTTGGACTTTTAGATTTTTGCTCATTGATTGGAAACAATATTTATTGGTAAAAATGTCATTTGAATGTTTTCAGTGTGTACCAGCAGGTTTCTCTGTTGTGTGTGTTTGTTATTTAAACAAGAAAGAAATGAATTCAGCTGCACATTTGGGAGTCATAAGGAGCTTAAAGTTCTTTGCCAGCAAAGCATGCAATGCAGTCTTTGTTGGTTGGTTTGTGCTTTCTTTGGTTGGAGCAGAATGCAAGTGTGTTCTTCTTTCTTTCTTTCTTTCTTTCTTTTTGGTGAAATGGGCACATGTTTAATCAAATGTCTTCTGCCACATCTTTCAGAGAGGATTTTATTTTTGCCCCCTATGTATTTTTGGCTAATACGTCTTCTAGGGGGTGTCCCTTGTGGATCTCCAAAGGAATAGAGCACTCTCGATTTAGAATCTGGAGAATTTTCTTTTGCGTTGAGAAGATTTGTTGTCTTTTTTGTAATTTTCTCTCTTCTCATCAATAATTCTCTTTTAATTAAAAAAACAAACAAACTGGAGAATGCCCACATAATTGCTATGATTAATTTTATTGAACAGAATATATCAAAATTTATCCAACTTAATATCACTGTGTTCAGCATCATGTTTGGTAGTTCTGTAATTGTTTTAGTTATCTTGTATGCACTATTTAACTACAGCACTGATCCTACAAAAGTAAAACCGCATGAGAAGTGGGATGGATAAAAGAGCTCCTCATACCTCTTTTCTAGGCAAAGAAATCCTGTTGGCAAATTTACTGTGTTGCTTAAGTGCCTTTCGTTTACTTTTTCTGTAAATAATTAGCTAATCATGTATCTTTCCAAAAAAACAAAAGAGACAATTTTAATGTTTCCAATACTTCAGGGGTTGGGGTTTCAAGTTGTTGTCAGTGTTGAATGTTATTACAGTTTAATAAATCAAAGGTTGAAGAGATGAAGATAACCAGAGAAATGAACCGCTTTTTTTTTTGGGCAAAACATGCAGGTATGTTTTGAAGGTGACAATTAGTCGAAATTTTGTCAGCAACATTGTGGAGTACCTGGATTTTGTGGTAAGTAGTTTTGTGTCTGTATGTACTGAAGAATTTTGTTTTATAATCAGGATTGGCATAGTCCCTCCTATATAATTGTCTCATTTATTCTTATGGATTTCACTGCTTTGCTTGTATTTATTAGTGATATATTTTGTTCATTACTGGGTGTTTGAATCATCTATATTTATATATTAATAAAATTTCTAGTAAATTTCACTACTTACAAGCCATAACAATGTGTATTGCTCCCTAAGTTTTGTGCAATGCATGGACCTGAAATCTAAGCTATATGATTACCTAATACCACAATTCGCTCACATGATTTAATTATTCATGCACTTTCTGCCATATCATCATCATCTTTATCGGCCTTGTATAATGATATTGAGTAGTTAACAGAGGATCTTTTTTGGTTTTAATTTTTAAACTTCATTATCTTGCATCTTGCTTCATCCTTCTATGACAAGATTATATATTCTATTGTTGGAGTGATTACTGTTGAAATTTCTTTTTCATATGTATGTTTTCAGATTATTGCAGAAAAAGTATATGAAGTAACCCACTTTCTACTTTCATTCTTCATCAGGTTCGCAACTATAGTCCACCTCCAGCAATCAATAATAGCATTAAGGTTAGGATGATAAAATTATCTATTCATGTATATCTTTAGTAGCCAATTTTGATAGGCAATTAATACTGAGATTTTTCCTTATGCTTAAAATTAACAGTGAACTAGAAATCTGGCTGAAAAAAAAGAAAATAGTGAACTGGGAAGATTTTTTGCCCATGTCCTGCAACTGCTTGAAGTGGCATTTTCAATTAGGCTGAATGTATTTTGCTTGTCTTATTATTTCTTGAATTAGTAGCAGGTTTATCTTTTAGGTCCCACTGTCCAATACATGCCCATCCCTTTGCATGATCTGTTAATGCTTTTATTATATAAAAAAAGAAAAAAAAAATCCACTTCGATCAATTTTCATTTTCTTAGTCCTCACCTTTCCTAAAAGGGAATTTGTGGACACAGCTGTCGGTGGCCCTATGCTTTTCTATGTTACAAAAGCATAAGTTAATATGTTTGATATCCTCTAGAACTCTACGAGAAAGATGCTATTGCTTAACATTGACCTTATTTTTCTTCATTTTGATGTCTCATTCAGATGGAAGTAGGAATCGAAGACTGCTTGCACATAGAATTTGAATACAGTAAAAGCAAGTAAGTATTAATAAACTCTTCATAAATAGCAAGTTTCAATGTTTTCATGTAATGTCAGAGGTGAGTCCCATTTTTGTAACTCAAAAACTGACAGGTACCATCTGAAGGACGTCATCATTGGCAAAATATATTTTCTCCTGGTGAGAATCAAAATAAAAAACATGGAGCTTGAGATAAGGCGTAGAGAGTCAACTGGATCAGGGACCAACACTTACGTGGAAACTGAGACCCTTGCAAAATATGAACTGATGGACGGTGCGCCTGTCCGAGGTATGCATATATACACTAACCTTTTCCTTATAAAAATAATAGTCATATTGTATTCATATGCATGATCTTGTCTTGAAAAACATGAACGTTGAATCTGATATATATCCACCACTACATATCATGAGATTTTCATATATGGACAAGGATCACACCTGTTACCTTACCTTGGACCTTCTTTTCTGAAGAAAATAGGACGACAAGGATTAAATTCCCGAGCCCTAATCTTGAAGTTCAAGTTCAAGTTCGGTTTGTTTAAGAATTTGATTTAGCTCAAAAACATGAAACATTTAATCTAATCTTGAAATTTGATGCTTATCTTGTTTAAAATTAAAATTAATATGAACATTCAAATGACATATATAATCATGTATATTTTGTATAAACTAGGTGGAGCGTCATGTATATTACAACACAATTTGAATAATGAGTTACACTAATCAAGATTTGCAAAGAATGTGATTTGCTGTAGATATTATATTTTACATTGATATGGATATTGTAAATCATAATTTTTTTCTCAAGTATAATGAAAACTCATAAAACTCGTATAACTCGTTGTGTATTATCTTGTATGCATTTATATAAATCGACAAAGCAAGCCAAATTTGAGCAGCTCTTTTACACTGCTAGCTGTAATACCGATAAGATATGTTGTGTGCATGTTTGTTTGTACCATGGGCCACCTGATCTTTAATATAACCTATTGTCTAATTATTTCTCATTTTAATCTCTCTAAAGGAATGCTACTGAAGATCATTCTTTTTACAGGAGAATCAATTCCCATCAGGTTGTTCCTCAGTCCGTATGAGCTCACACCCACCTACCGCAACATCAATAACAAGTTTAGTGTGAAATATTTTCTGAATCTTGTTCTTGTGGACGATGAGGATCGAAGGTACTTTAAGCAGCAAGAGTTCCAACTCTATCGTCTGCTAGAAAACTCTTGAAACATTTTGTTGATTCAAGACATTGCAACGCATGAATCCTGTCAATGCCATGCTTTTATTGAGCCAGATGTCTTCATGTTGCAGCAGTCTTCTTGTGCTTTGATGGTCCTTTAGGTCTTGTAAAGTATGCTTGTGACACAAGAATTAGTTTTATTTGATTGTGTTCGTCAGGAGAGGTTAAACGAATAATGTTGAGCTTGAGCACAGTAAAAGCTCAGCTTAGTCTTGATTTTTATCTTTTGTATTATGAAAATTAGTTGGGCACCTGAGAAATAAACTAGTTCATTCTGTCAGAAAACATTCTGAAGTAGTAACATCTGGAAGAACGTGCTAGCAACAAATTTTGGGAGTGAACATAAGAGAAGCCTAATCCAATCTACAATGAACGTGGATATTTGAGAGCTGTAATACTTCCAAAATGAGAAACATGAAACACATTACAATATATGCTAGTTATTTTTTCTTTTTGCACTTGCTCATTCTCTTTATTTCATGTGACGAAAAATAGAACGTGATCCTTCATTTGACGAGCTTTTTTTAGCTAACCAGTTGGTGCTAGAGTTTGCCTCTTTGAATACATGCTCATAGGAAACAGACCACTCACAAGTGATGATTTATTCATGATAAGTTGTAACATTTATTACTAAATAAAAGTTCTAAATTCCAAAATCGTACACATTGATTAAAGAATGCATACATTACGAGACGGTACACCTCAGATTCATGAGCGTATCACCAAAAATATTAGCTTGAAGGAAATGCACAAGTAGCCACTTGCCTACGTAACAGGGATTGAAATAATTTTTATAAAAATGAAGATGAAGATGCTTCCATAACATTAAATTCCAAAAAATCTTCTTAACATGAGACAGTAAAAGGAAATGATCATGCACTGATCAATTTCTTGATCCCAAAGATTGCAATTGCATTCATGAAACACTTTGATGCCAAGCGCCTGTCATCGAACTCTCTCAACTAAGTGATTTAATTGGGGAATGACAAGCCATTGAGATTCACCTTTTATATATTCTAGATGGAGAAAATATCGTCAACTCGGCTGCCTCAATCAATAAAATCTGCTGTTCTTGAAGATCATCAAAAGTGCTTCTATGTCACAATCTTGGGTAGTAGCACCATAGAAACAGCTACAGAAAGGAGTACAAGATACTTTGAAATGCTCCAATGTTGCGGTTGATAAAATGCATTGCAAAGAAAGTAATCACCTGTTATAACCTATTTTATTTTACTTGGACCTTACAATAACCTGCTGAGAGACTTGATAAGTAATTTCAAATTCCTTCTTGTAGCCTCATCACCAGCGAAACCCAATATATCAGAGCTAATATTCTGCAACAATGCAACAGAAATGAGAACAGAATCAGCCAAATTATTTGTAATTAATTAAATTTACTTGAGATTTCCAAATTTACAGCCTTGCCTCAATGTTCTTCAGGGTAAATATGAGAGTGTAAATAGACTTGCGAATAAGTTCAGTGTTCTCAGGGGTCATGATGGACGAATGTACCCTTCTGTATAAACATAGGATGACCTTAGTTGTCATGATATATTTTCCAGGATAAAAGTAAGAGTAAATGAAATTTTAGAATTATCTTAGAGTTCTCATGGGACTGATAAATGATTTTATCATTCAGCACATAGGTGAAGTGTGTCTTCATGTTGTATTACCATATGTACTTTCTTCATTGTAATATCATGGATCTTAATGAAAATAGAATATGGTAAGAGAATGAAGACCTATAGGCTACAGATAACGGGTAATTACACCAAGTTTGGATATCTCGAAACTATATTCTTAATCTAAGGGTCATCACTTTATCCACTTTATGTTCAAACTGAAAAACAAAACAAAAAACAAAAAAGGACATTTCAATCTTGATACAGCTAGTGTAGAGTCCTGATTGTGCACAATTCTCAACCATAGTAACTAAATAAGATGCATCTAACTTTGATCTACGAGCTGGATGCCACATTTCAGAGCATGGTGCATTTGCATCCTGATCACAGGGGTCGGTGAGCCAGGTAGGTAGAATCAGCATTCCTAAGTTAGAGCTGCCAGCAGAAACCCACAAGAGCAGAGACTTCGAAATGTGATTCAAGTTTGTACCCCATTTTCCAAATGAAGTGCAGCTTTCACCAACTACTCAAGGTACGCACAGGTCAACATAGATGAAGACCCAGTGCAGTGAGTGTTCTATACTATTTTAAAATTGATTTATAATTTATAAATTTAAATTTCAGTTTAATATGTAATTTCAAATGGAATATTTATCATAATTAATTTCAATATTTTATTATTAATTTCAATAAATCCTTAATACTGAAATTGAAATATTCAACAGAACATAAATTAACAGGATGACCAACAGTAGAACGACGATTGAGTAAGTAGAAGGGGCCCAATAACCTTCAAGTAAAGCCTAAGCCTATGCATTCCTCGTGGACAAAAAAAAGGTTGTGTGGAGAGCCACCTTCCATAGATAGTGGAATTAGAAACCAGATGGTTTTCCTATGTTTATAAAAAAAAAAAAGGGAGAAAAGAAACCAGATGGTTGGCACAAAAAAAAAAAAAAAAAACCCTAAGAGGCTGTGTTTGTGACATGAAATAATATAAAATCACAAGCCTTCTCATTTTAAAACTTTTATGAACCTTTGCTCCTTTTTTCTAGTATATATTGAAGACTTGTTTGAGGTCATGCATTTTTACATTTTACACAAAGAAGTTATAAGTGGTAAAAATACTAAAGCATCATTTTTGGCAAGTAAAATATTAGCATTCATTTTAAATCAGAAATCCTATGCTATAAACCACTCTTACAGCATATACTTACGCACAAGTGTGCACTCACCTACATAAAATCACTGAAGACGCCTAACCCAAATAAACCTTATTTTCTCATACATGCCCTAGATGGACCACAATAAACTGCCTCCTTGCCACTCACCCCTTTTCCCAAGTCTCTTCATTCAGGATCTCTCTCAAGAACATAATGTTGACATAACAGCTGGCATCTTATCTACTAGTAACAATGTACTACAAGGATGCGTATGCAGGAACGATATAACAGAGATAAAAAGTGCCAGAGAGGTTTCTATAGTTAACCTCAAATCTTCAGAGGCTTGTGTAAGGCTTTGGGTCAAATTCTCAACCTCCTTCAATAGACCAGTCTCATGAACTTCAGCCAACAAAGGTTGCACATCATCAGCCATGGCTTTGATCTGAGAAATCACTAAATCAAAGCCAAATATATGGGATGAGAATGAGTGATATAATTATTTCAAAAGGAAACAACATTTAGTCACAACAAGGAGAAAGTACAAAGATACCAGAAATGTTAGTGCATAAAAAAACTCCCTAGAGTTCACTCACACTATTAATTTGTCCACAATAACTACTGTGAACGCTGTAGTGAATACCCCATAATTAAATATATTAAATTAAGTCTACACAGAAGCAAGAAGATAAAATTGAGTATTTTAACTAAACATAATGAACATGAAATGTTAGCTGTCCAGAATGTGATCACATTCACAACTAAGAATGTCAAGATCCAATTGAGATCCTAATTGCCCAATCACATTTCTACAATTTGACATTTTACGGCAAACATAGGGGTGTTGAATATTTTATCATAAAGATATGGAGAACGTAAAAATTCCCATGCCATCCCTTCCAAGAAAATAATTCTAAGGCATTTTCCTGTTCTGGTTCAACATAACATATTTGTAAGACTTAAAGTGGGGATAACAACTTAACGACTACAGACTTACATTGGCAGATGCTGATATGTCATTTATCATCATGCAAAAGTCAAGCTTGCAAGAGGACAAAACAAAAGAGGACAAGCACGAGACAAAATATCACCCCTAAAGGCCCAAGCAAAAAGAAAACAACGGAAAATGAACCAGACTCTTCAACTGAAACGACCACTCCAATCCCTCTCAAGATCCACAAGGGACAATTCCCCTCTTCCAACCCACAAAGAAAGAAAAAAAATTGTTGGGGGCGGGGGGAATTCTCTCCTAAAGGTGTGGCTAAATGCAGCTCCCATCAAAGACTAAACAGCCGGTTACAAATTTGCCAATCCGTTTCAGCAAAGCCAAAACAGGATGATTATTTGTCTGTGAAACATTTTTTTTTTATACATGAAAAAAATAATTTATTAACAAGAAGAGAGAATGATGCAAATAGGTATGAAACAGAGGGCAATGAATCCCCTCTCCAAACAAATTACAAAAACATTTAGTGATAAAACCTTATTGGAAATGTTTGAGGCAAATCATTTTCATTATTACTATTAAGTACCATTAAACAAACAAATAGCTTTGCATTAGAAGGAGTCTCGAGTCGCCATATAAACAAATAATAAGAAAATGTGCTTGTACTAAGAATCTCAAGAATCCAAATTCCAAATCTTTCTGTTAAGCAAAAAAGAAACATGGAAAAGAACAAGTATGTCCAGCAAAAGAGCAACATCATCAAGTCTATCATTCAGATCTCTATAAAAATGAAAATTCCAAGAGGAATGGCCGTCCTGTTAAAGACAACAAAGAAATTGGAGCATTAAAATTAATGGATACAGTAATATGAGAAGATTACATCACACCTTTATAAGAAGTGGCTTTGCTTCTTCAATAACAGAAGAAACTCTTTCAGCCAATGAATAAGTATTGGCAATACCAATTTCCTCTACATCTCGTCCGAGCCGGGTGAATACCCCAACCAATGCATCCAAACTAACTCCCTCATACCCCTTGATCCTTTCTCGATCACACACAATGAGACCTTCTTTGGAACATTTTGGGTCAAGAGGTCCAACTGATGGTGTTGGAATAGGATCTTGAGGTGTAATGTCGATCAAAGTTTCCATGAGAAGACCCGACTGGTTAACTTCAACCAGCGAATTTCGTGGTATAATTGTTTTATCATCTTCAATCTACACAGAAGCATATGTTTCCAAACCCAAACAAAATTTCAACATTTTCATGTCAACAAAGGGAGTGGGAACAAGGTTACAAACTTAAAAGATTATAGCGTTGAAACTCACCTCTGCAATTGCTTCAATACATTTTAAGGAAGGATTAACACGAATGACATTGCCAACAGTTGCCCCTCTGATCCTTACAGGTGTTCCAGTGCATATACCACAAGCCTGAGCAAACTCAAAGACAGCCGTGTACTTTCTGAATTTGGATCGTATTTGGAAACCCCTCAACCAGGCTAAACTAAGAGCAAGTAAAACTGAACCAGATACTAAAAGTAGTCCAACCCCTCCTTCCCAGATGCTCCTTCTACCAAACCCAAAATCGCCTAGTGGACGTAGTGTTTGTCTCCAAACAGCACGAGGAAGGTCTAAAATGATAGCTAGAGGATTTGTTGCTTCCGAAGTAGATGATGTTTCTCCAGGCCCCGCATCAGCTGACATAGATTTTATTCTGTTGAATCTTGTTTGGGGTCTACAAGGAAGATAAGGGATTCCATTGGAAAAATTCCCAGGTAGGGACATCAAAGATGGAGGAAAAGTAGCTGGCAATGTTAAGACATGGACTGGATAGTTCCCAACCATCTTTGATGCAACCTAAGATAATATAGTTCTGCACCTATTATCTGTAGAAGCTAGTTTTCAAAATTGAATAGCAAATCACTTTACGGATGTGCGAGGCTGCTGTAACATCCTTGTGGAGCTATAAATCATAACCATACAAGTATTAGAAGCATTAAATGCATAATGGATGGAAAAATGACATGAAAAAGAATCCAAAATGAAAAAAAAAAAAAAAAGGTATTGATATGATCAACTTTATTGGCTCTAATCGTCAATTGATTATAAAATTACAGTACATTGAGTGGAACATGCCAAGAGAAATCAATAAACTAAAGCTTAACGCTTGACTGGGACAATGGCTTGGGTGAAAACACATGCCACCTCTGTTTCAACCCACTCCAAATTGTGGCTCCATTTGGTAAGCTTGAAGGAAATGAATAAGAATTTCATTGCATGAAACTTGAGGCAAGCAATATCTGTTATATCCATGTTAACACCATTCAACAATAACTATATATTTCTTACTATCGTTTATTTATGGTTACAGAAAACATTGCTCATTTAAAGAGTCACCTTTTTCATTCCATTCCATTTCATTCTGCATACCAAACAAGGCCTAAGTGATTTTTGAAGGTTCAGGTTCTTTATAATTTTCATTTCTTTTTCAACCCTCTCGACTTGTCGACGCCCCATTAATGATCAGCCCACCTCACCTCTCTCTTCAAGGCGACCAATCAAGCCCTTTAAAAAGTATGGCATGTTTACAGATTCAGCAAAAGTGTAAACAACTGTGTCACTCCACTCCTCAAAAAGCACTGGTCTTAGTAGCCTAGATGGAAGGGGGAGGAAAAAAAAAAGACCGTGGATGCACGAACAAAAGGAGCCCCTTCATTCCCTTCCCGTGAATATCATAGGAGAAATTAAAAAATAGAACGTACTGAGATCTTCAAACCAATGAGTTTCGTTTAGAAGATGAATCCTAGCCCCGTAGTTCAAAAAGAATGTCAATTTGGACATTTTAGCTATCCATCTATAACCAAATCCTCACGTAACAAGAGAAAGGGTTCCGGTTTGATGTTTACAAAAACAAGTTCATACTTTTACCCAGCTAGCATCTGATTATGATTCCTAAAACCATACTTCTCTTTGAAACAAAATCCTAAGCAGAGGATTCATGTAGACGAAGGAGTAGAATTCAAACCACTAGTGTCAGTGTTAGCACGGAATTCCGAATAAATTGATGCTGACAGTGCATAAATTGAAAGGGCGGGACAGAGGGAGACATACTGTGACTGTGACTGTGACTGAGACTGAACGGAGGAAACAGATCCCTAAGTAGCTGCTGAAAGAGCCATCGACGATTTGGGAGATGACGAAGCGCAAAGACTGCCTCCAATTTCTTTTCTTTTTTTTGGGGGGGGGGGGGGGGGGGGGGGTAAAATTTCATTTGTCTTTCATGAGCTAGGTAATGGGGCTCACAGGCATGGCTCAGTTAAAGAACTGCCATGAATCAACCTATCAACAACATTTTCACATGGGTAATGAATTTATATGAATTGTAAGTTAATTTTTTAATAACTATATCTTTATTGCTAAATTTGAATTTACATAAATCAATTTCATTTTAAAGTTGGCTCAAAAGACAGTAATCATTTGAAAGGCCCCAAATTGGATTCTCAGTCCCCTTTAACTAAATTATACCCCAATTAAGAAAGCCTACATAATTCTTACAAAACAAAAGAAAAGAAAGCCAATATAGGGTCTGTCAGAAAAAATTGATTATATGAAAAGTTAATTACTGTAATCAATTTTAAATATGATTGATTATTTTATATGATATAATTGATCAATAAAACTGGTTAATTATTAATAAAATTAATTTTAAAAAGAATTGAAAATCAAATAAATAGGCGCTCCTGCCATTCTATCTTTCTCACTAAAGCACATATATTAAGTTAAAAAATTAAATTTTTTGAATAACAAATTTAAAACATTAAAATTAATTAGTAATCTTTTCAAAACTACCATTTTATTTGAGATAATTTTCTCCTACTTTCATTCTTTCTCATCTGCATTATTTTTGGATAAATTAAATAAGGGTAGTTTGACAATGCATTATAAATGTAACATCATGATATGAAACAAGTCCTATATTTTAAATCAACTAAAAAGGTTATATGTTTGGGATGAGAGGGAATAATTTTTTGAAGAAACTAGAATTTACACGGTGTTATTACTGAAAATATTTGTGTGTGTGTGTGGATATGGATTTTTACCGTCTTGCAAGCTTTATGATAAACTACTTCAAAAGTATATATTTTATTAAGGACAGAATAATATATACAGCAAACACCGTGCAATTAAACTTTATTTTACTTTTTTTTCTCCATTACTTTATAATTTCATACTCCCTCCGTTCAAAAATATAAAGTATTTAATTATTATTTTTTTCAAAAATACTCCTATTGATGATAACTTTATATTTATTGTAGGATATTTAACAGGGATAAATATAAAAAGATATAGTTAGTTGAAAAGTAAGTAACTACTTTATTAGGGAATGAGTTTCGATTAAAAATGCCTTACATTTTTGAACAGAGAGAATATTATTTTTATAAAAATATTGACTTAAAACTTTATATCCAACATTGATATTGATATTAGCATTAAAAATTTATGTAAGCTGAGCTATCATATTTTATAATAATATTTTTAAAAAAATTACAGAGCTATGATCGGTGTAACCTTGAAAGGTCATACTTCAAAAACCCTTTTATTTAAAAAAAAAAAATCCAGTTAGATCCCTTTTTCCCACTTCCAGCAACAATATGGGATTAAGAGTTTAGATTTCTCTTAAATTTGTTGTTATCTTAAAAAAAGACAGAATAACTAAAATGAGGCTATCATGTTTCTATTTATAATATCCATTTAGTACATAAAATGATAAAGAATAAAATTAAAAATACTTTTAAATTAAAAAAATAACTATCATATTTCTATTTTAAAAACACATTTAAATAGCCAAATGAGACTAACTTAAGTGGCAAGGATGGAGGGGGGTTGAGTATAGATATCAAGAATTCAAATTCTCCTTATATTAAGGGAAAAAAAACATTTAAATATAAAAGTTACAGGTCATAACTAAAACACACAATAAGTGTTACTCTCTATGTCCTTATATATAAAATATTTTTAATCAAATCATATAAATAAACAAAATTAATTATTTAATTAAAAATACAAAAACATTTTAATTTTGCCCATTTTATATATAAAGATAAAGGGATAAAGGGAGTAAGATAGAGAGAGGTAGGGCTTCATTTCACCAATTGATCAGTTAATACCCTTTGCTCTTTTCTTTCATCATAAAAGCTCAAGTGTTTCCATGAGACAATCTCGAATGTGAGGAACACAATTCCCATAGATGATGGAAAAGAAAAAAAGTGCTAAGATTCATTTTTATTCTTAAAAAAAATTATAGACACTTTATATTAATAAGTGAGGTAATTTTTTTAAATTATTTTTTTAAGGAGTAAAAAATTACTTCTATTAGGCCCTTGTTAACTTTATCAATTTTACTAATATGACATGTGGGGTTCACAAGCAGTGACACTGACCATGTTTGCTTCTAATTTGCCCTTGAACTATTTTTTAAAAGCATTAGTTACCTTGAAATCTTATTAAAATAAAATTAAAAAAAATGAATCATTTGATTATCATAGTTTTGACTCAGTTATAAATTAATTCTTAAACTTTAACTCATTATAATTTTATTATTAAAGTTTTGACTGTATTGTAATTTAGTACTTAAATTTTAATTCGCTGTAACTCAATCCTAATAATTTTAACCATTTAAAATATTAATTTTTATATTTTAAAAAATAAAATTAAAAAGATTAAATCTTTATAATCTTTATCAAATTAAAATTTTTAGTAAAAAAATTAAAATTAAAAATTATTTTTATTTTTAAACTATACACAAAATATGATAAATGCTCTTAAATTTAATTGTGGATGATTTGCATCCTTTAATGTCAAAGATTTTTTTTTTTTTTTTTGTATTTCTTCACCCTACTATTTTCTCCATTCATTTTTCCGTAAGTGGGGCTACTTTTCAATTTTTCAAACATTTTTACTATAAAATATTATTTATGAGAATCACATTATTTTTTTAATATTTTTTATCATCTCCCTCCTCTCCATCTCACACTTTTCTTCTTGTCTCACTGTCCCCCGCCCCCTCCTGTCTCCTCCATGATTATCATCTCCATGCTAGCCTCAGTTCGTGATCTCAGGTCTCAGCTCCAACAAATCGACAGAGGTGTAAGTAGCCAATGAGCGGCAACCGTGTGGCCAATGACCTGATTGTATCATCTCCAACCCGCTAGAGTTGCCTGTCTGATGACGAACTAACGACGAACTATTAAAAGAAGCGTGAAGGACCAAACGGAGGTTCGCATGGATGTTGAATTGATGGTAACTGTTGGACCTTGCAAAGTAGAATTTCTGAGCTTCACTATAAAACTATCATACCTCAAGAAGAACTCCACCAAAAACATAGCAAATGGCCAAAACACTAACATCGTCTCTCCTTTCTTCACTAGAAACACAGCATCAAGTCGAGTCCAGAACCATCAAGCCCATGCGCAGAACCACGTAAATGCGGCTAAGATCGATGATCTTTGTTTGTAGCACTCGAGCAGCAGTGCCCATGAAACCTTGTTCCTCGACAACAATGTGACCCTCACGATGACCTCTGTGTCGGCAATGGCGGCTTCGATCTTTTCCCCCAGTCAGTGAATGAGCAAATAGCGTGCTGAACAACATTCGAGGAAGCTGATGAAGAGGATGGCCAAGGTGGGGAAATGATCAGAAGTGAGACTGGCAAGGTGGCAAGAAGTCCGAAAGCCATACCGGCAAGTGTCCAAAGAGGAGAGAAGGAGAGGGAGGTGGGGAGAGAGACAGAGAAGAAGAAGAAGATTGGAGAGTGAGTGAAAAATATTAAAAAAATAAATTATGAGACCACTATAATATTTTATAATAAAAAATATTAAAAAATTCAATTCTGGGCTCACTTAACGAGAAACTAATGCCCGGCACACGAATGATTAAATTCTTGACGCTCAGGACATATATGATCCATAATTAATTTTAATAACATTTGTGATCTTTATATATAAAATAATTCTTAACTGTTAAAATTAATTTCAAAATGTCAACATAATTTTAACTTTTAGAATTGCATTTTCAAGATATAAAAACTAATATTTTAAATAATTAAAATTATAAGAATTAAATTACAACAATTAAAGTTTAATAATTGAGTTACAACTAAGTTAAAATTTTAAAAATTAAATTATAACTAGTTAAAATTTAAGAACTAAGTTATAATTGAGTTAAAATTACAAAGACCAAATGATTATTTTTTTATTAAAATATAATAAATATTACTAAAATATTAAATATTTTAATATCTAGTAATTTAAATATTATTATTTATAAATATTCATCCAAAAGTTATAAATTATTTTTTTAAAATATTAACAGCTCAAACTAATTTTTTTAAAAATTTATAGATGACTTATAAATTTTATGTGAAAATTTGTAAATAAGAACAATAATATTTACAAATACTTTCTCCATCTAAAAATGTATGAAATTTTTTAAAGAGTTGAATGTTAAAAAATATAAGACATTTAGTTTTTTGAAATGTAATCATTACTTTTTTCAAAATACCCCTATTGATGAATGATTTTATATTTATTATAATATATTTAATAGGGATAACTATAAAAAAATAGAGTTAATTTAAAAGTAAATAATTATTTTATTAGAAGGTGATACTTGATTAAAAATCAGTTACATTTTTTAAAGGAGGGAGTGAACTACATAAAATGACCTAATAAAAAAATTAATATTGATTGAATTCCTCAAAATTTTAAGGTTCTTCTCTATAATTTTTTTGATTAATTAACAATACTTCTTTAAAACATTACACCATCCAAAATATTTAGATATTTTAATATTGTGCTACTTTGTGTTAAAAACGGTGGGGATAAACTTCTAGAGTTAGTAATACATTCATCCAAATAAGTACAAATTATCCTAGATATATTATACTTAATATGTTTTTAGCTTAATTGAAAAGTTGAGAAAGTGACATTTCAATTTTAAATATCAATGACCTATAAAATTTAAGAGACTTCCTCAATATTAATTTTTTTTTATAAGATCATTTCTTGTAATTTATTTATGAATATTATTATTATTTACAAATCTTCACACACAATTTACAAATCATTTAAAAAATTTTAAAAATTAATTTAAACTGTTAATATTTAAAAATAATTTATAAATTTTGGGTGAATATTTATAAATAAATATTTAATTATTCAAAATTAAAATATTTAATTTTGCAACAACATTTATTAAATATCATTTTAACAATTCACAATGTCCGACACTCTTGAAAAAGAGTTCAATGATAAATTAACACTAAAAGATATAATCAAAGTCTTGCCTATTAATGCGTATGAGGAAATGGAAAAGTTAATTGGTGATTAATGAAAAGGATTTTTTGCCTCTCAAAAAAATGATTTATGGGGAAATTTGTCTCACTAACAGTCCTTGAAAAAAAGTTTAAGAATAAAAATACACCTTATCCCAAAAAAATATAATTAACAAATGGAAGAAATATATAAATTTTTGGAGTGCAGCACTTTTATCGTTTGGCAAACATAATTTGATTGTTGATGAGCAAAAAGTTACATAAAACTATGCATGCTTTCCTACGATAAATTACTAGGAAAGCACTTCGCGGGTCTATGTCCAAACAAACAAACATGTGAGTAGAAAGACGTAGGATGAGAATTGACTGAAGATATTGGTAAATAGTAGGACATGAGGCATCAAGAAATTGCTTTTGATAATAACGATACTGAAGATTTACTTTGCTTCTTGAGTGTCCTCAGCTTTCCAAACAACATCATCAAGCCTTGTTGAAAGATTTTTGTAGAACTGCATGCCAGGTGAATCAGAACAGTTATTTCAACTGAGTTCAAATAGTAGAATGGGCATTTTAACTCTTTGTTACTGGTATTGTTAAACAAACATGGGCTAGAAGCTATGACTCGACCAGCATTCTGAAGAGAGGCAGAAAGTTTCCCAAAAAAGAGGAAGGAGAAAGCGTTTTTTTTAATGAGGAGTTTGGGCCTGTTTTCAAAAACTGTTTTTTGTTTTTAAAAACAGAAAAAGGAAATATCCTAAAGTTATTTCCATTTTATTTTTCTTGATTTTAAAACACACTACATTTTGTTATTGAAAAATATAGCTAATTTGACTAACTGCTATAACAAATCACTACCATTAACTGCCTGCAATCATCATTATCTGCTATTTATCAATTCTACAACTGCTTTTAAATTAATATAATCAAACAGATTTTCATTTTGTTTTGTTTAAAAAAAAAATATAACTTTAAATCCCTGTATTTTGCTTGCATTTTGTTATTAGTCCCTGTACTTTTTTTTTGTGTTTCTGGTCCCTATACTTTTGTTTTTTATTATTTTAAGTCCTTTTATGAACAAAACATAGGACCTTGGAAGGACCTAAAATATTAAAAAATAAAAGTACAAAGACCAAAAACACCAAAAAAATATAGGGACCAATAGAAAAATGCAAGCAAAGTACATGAACTTAAAGTTATGTTTTCAATTCTATAGGGACCAATTATGAAAATTATATTACAAAACAGTTTTTAAAAACAAAAAATAAGAACAGAAATGAAACAGGCCCTTGTTCAATTCTATATCATAAAAATAGGCAGCTTGAACTAAAAACTAGAGTTTTCTTATTAGTGCAAAAAATGGCAATGTAGGTACTTGAACATTTAGGGTTAAGGCATAACATAAGTCCATTAGCATGAGAATTAGGGTACAGGTGGGACCTACTGAGTGGTTCCAAAGACCCATCCAAAAGACCAGGTGCTAAGGAATCCCTCTAGAGAAGGGTGACCACACACACAAAACTTGGCATTAAAAGGAGCTTGATATGCATAATAAAATATAAAAGAAAATCTTTTTTTTTTTTGCCAGCTTAACATTTATTATTGTTTTATAGAACATATCTCTGTAAAGATTGTCAACCAGAAACTAAGTACAACAAATAAAAGAAAGGCAAAGAGGCAAAAATACACAAGAAGTCGTTAGTCAAAAGCATCGAATAGCCTAAAGTGAGGAAAAGTACACTAGTTCTTGTGAAGTTGATTTAGTCAATGCATATGTGACCAAACCATTAAAAGTCAACAATGTTGGCTGTTATATTATGGATATGAAATTTAACGTTTTGATCACAAATGCATTAAAAAAATAACTTCATGGGCACTCGTGAACTTTTTCTCCCTTTAAGCCATCGAATGCTTCTGGCTAATGACTTTTTGCATATTTTTGCCTCTTTGCCCTTAAAAGAATGAGTAAAATACACACACACATACCTTGTGAAACTCCAATGTATCACCTTTTGCTTTCCTCACCTCAACCATGTGAAGAGAAGGTGCCACTTGAAATATCTGTTCAAAACAAGAGTATATCAAATTATCAATAGAATATCTTGACAAATGATTTTACACTTCACTGAGCAACAGAAAGTGGTATCGCCTACCTCAGTGGCAATATTAAGGTTTCCCTTCCTTCCTGCTTTCACATTCTCGAGCCTCATCTAAAGTTGAAGATTGATAAATTTTTTTGGAAAGTAAAATAAACTTTAGATTATGTTCTTTCGGTGCCAGTTTATACTCAGTGTCACACCTTTCACTTACCTTGTAGTTTTTCTTCTGGACATCAAAACCAAGAGGCTTTACAGCTTCTTCAATCTTGTTAACTATCTCTTTCGCCGGGCATCTTGATGTGAACCTTGTTTCTCTTTTCAAAGCCTGTAGCCAATTACATTGTAGTAAAAACTCAAACAGTATTAAGGCAAGAAATCTAATTATCTGCTACAGCTGAACATGTTTTGTTATTGGGAAACACTCAGGTACTTCGTCTAATATACTTAATATACTTTCCTCCAATCAAAACAAAACAAATGGATCTTAAGATATTAATAATATTAATAAAAAGAATTTGTTATGGAATAAATAATACATAAAAGATCCACATAGTTTGATTTAATTGAAAAAAAAGCACATTAAATATATAAAGTTAAATATATAAGTTTTTCCCTTTGTAATATGCCAATCAGGTTCAGTTTTTTTTTTTTAATTAAAAAAAGTTAACTGAAATTTATGTTCAATTTACATAGTTCAGTATTATCAAGCTTTTCCTGTGTTTGAATATTACAAAAAATGCGCGTACAAAAGAGATAAAAGGTTAAAGACTTGCATGGACCAGACAATACGGCGAGCCAAACATGTTTGCTTTCATTCGTTTCATAGAATGTGGAAATACTTTCATATAACACTAATTCAATAATTCTACAGATTCATAATAAATAAGAATACAAGAAAAAGCATTAATACGTGAGGTTGCAAACCTGCTCTATATCAAACAAGTTCTCAAGGTTTAGCCCTTTGGACATAGAAATTAATTCAAATGCATTAATGGCTGTTGGCTGTTCTTCCTTCTTTTCCATCACATGGTGCTCCTGCAAGCACGGGCAAAATGTTTTATATGTGAAAATTGTTATATATGAAGAAGTTTATAGCACTAGCAAATATAGTCATTACAGATTATCCTCAACGTACTTCAGAATCTCTAAACACAGCTTCAATGTCATCAAGGTTGGTCTTCCCTGTCTCCTCAAAAACTGCAGGCTTGTAATCTTTCTTAAACCATTCATCATCCAAGATCTCAGATATAGTGATACGCTGTCATATCATTAAGATAAATCAGAAATGGAAACCAAAACTTGCATGTACTGAAACAACGATAGCAGATCAGTTTTCAGTTTTTTTCTTGTTTATGCCTTTTAACTTTTATTTCCCTTATGCTTTATGTTGTTGGGGTGAATGACCAATATCTGATTTTTCAAAAAAAAAAAAAGGTTTATTTAATCATAAAATCTAGCTGATGCCAATGCTGTTGGTGTCAAGGTTTAGGCCACAGCAAGGTGACCAATGTGAACCAATTTGTCATAGAATGCATGAGTAAACTAACAATTTAGTCCCCTGAATCTATGACCATCTTAGCTTTAGTCCCTATATTTTTAGCAGCAAATGATATTGTTGCTGAAAATACCTAAAACTTTGTTGTAGATTAGTCCTTCCAACCCACAGTAGCTGTACACATTTGATCATCTATACCTTGAATATCTCATCATACTATGAGACCAGGGAATGATAAATGTATCTTAAATTTACTTTGACCAAATAGGCCATACAGACCTTTATATTTTAGATTAATTAACAGTAAAATTTGCAAGGAAAGCATGAGACATTTTGACAGAAGGACTGACTTGTACAGTGAGCTTGATATTTTTAGGAAACAATTCATTCACAACAAAAATTTGGGGACTAAAACAACTCTACAAATTTGCAGTTTATAATTAAAATTACACTTTTGCTTTGACATTAACCATAAAAGTTGACACAGCATGAAGACAGAATACTTATCAAATGCTATTTCTTACTGTCATGGGGTTAGGATCCAAAATTCGAGTTATCAATTTCCTGGCACTGAAGGACATCCATGGGGGACAAGTAAATTCGGCAGCAGATATCTGCAGACCATGAAAATCAAAGTAATTAACAGAAAACTGAGAAGAACAGGAAATTGTGCAGTAAAATTTTCAAAATGCTCACTTTTTTATATAGGTTCATAAGATTAGGGTCATCGAAAGGCAAGTAACCTGCAAGTAATACAAAGAGAATCACTCCACAAGACCACAAGTCCGCAGTTGCTCCATCATAGCCTCTATCATCAAGGACCTGCATTGCAAGAACAAATTGTTATAAGCTCAAGTTCTATAAAATGAAACCCAAAATGCAATGCACAGGAAAGAAGCAAGATATGACATTTGTCCACACCTCAGGAGCAACATAGTTTGGAGTTCCACATGTAGTATGAAGCAGTCCATCATCCTGCCAACACCACCATTTTACAAAAATTACTCCTGCTCACCTTTGTGGCATCATTGCTTTCAGATCTTAATTACATTTTGTTTTTGGTTTAGCACTAGATTTAAGCAATAAGATCAACTTAATAACAAAAAGAATGAATCATGGTTACCTTGACTTCTTGTGATAGTGCACTCAAACCAAAATCAGAAACTTTAAGCTGGCCAGAAGCATCTAGCAGCAAATTCTCTGGCTGAAGAAATTTCATGAACAAGAATTAAACAGAGACCCTTTCACCTTAGTTTAAATCAAATGAACTGTTCTGATATCTGCAAATATGTAATGAAAGCAGGGGTGAAAGATCTTGCCTTGAGGTCTCTATGGTAGACACCCCTGCTATGGCAATAATCAACAGCATTTATAAGCTGCTGGAAATAACTACGTGCTTCTTTTTCATTCATTCGCCCATTGTTTACCTTTAGAACAAGATCTCTATTAGCTCTATTAGAAAATAGACTTTTATCGTTTTTCCCAAAAGAATTATTGAACTTATTGAAAATGAGAAGAAACTATTGAATAAAATAAGACAAGTAGAGGTTCATTTGCTCACAATTTTGTCAAAGAGCTCCCCTCCAGTAACAAACTCCAAAACTATATATATTTTTGTCCTGCTTCCCATTACCTGAAAATAAAATCATGATATTTAGCATCAAGCATTACAATAGGTGAAATTTTCAGAGTCAGACTACCAGTGGTTCATCATAATTTTCTTTGACTACTATAATTAATGTTTTAGGTGCAACAGCACCATCAGAAAATTTAAAAATGCCCACAAGGAATCTCATCTGAAGGCAACAACAATCTTTATTCAGTCCTATGAAATAGTTAATGACTTTCTTGTAAGCAAGATTCTAGTCCAGATTTATCTTTTCCCAAAACGAAAAGGCAAGAATAGGTAAAATCAGATAGACAAACAAACCTCATACAATTGAACAACATTTGGATGCTTGATTAACTTCATTGTTGCTATTTCCCGCCTGATCTGTTAAAACACATATTACAAAAATAAGGAGCATTGACTTCATCATATAAGGGTTGAGCTTGGCTTTACTACAGAATTTATAATCTAAATAGGAATTTGTCATATCAAAGAACAAGATGCCTCTTTAATTTGCAACCTCCAACTCCCACCCAAAAACTAGCTTCAAGAAAACCTAAATTTAGCAATATTCTGAGAGATGTGGGAAGATTTTAGGAACTATGGAATACAATTGGATACATTCTTTAGATAGAATGAAATAACAGGAAAACGATAGTCTGAGTAATGGTGCAAAATGATACCTGTTCAGCCATCTTGTGCTTGAGAACCTTCTCTTTCTCCAGAATTTTAATAGCCACAGCCTCCCCAGTCTCAGAGTTCCTAGCAAATTTCACTTTTGCAAATGTTCCCTCACCAATGGTCGTTCCCACCTCATATTTACCTATACGACGCTTGATTTTAGACTGGCTCATTCTGAATGATTCCTTAACTTTCTGATAAAGTTCAACTCTTTCCCCTCTGACAAGGAATCTGCCTGAAGATAATGTCAAAATTTAGTAGAAAAGCCAAAAGTCAACAAATAAAAATGAGTGTAGGAAATGCTACTGGAGCTTATGCTTCAAAGAGAACATGAGCGTTGAAGATCAAGAAGTACATAAGCAAAAAGTCAACAAGTCATTTGCAATATCCATCCCCGGAAGTTATGTCATATCATCAAAGAAATCCGGGACAGTTCAATACAATAAACCTTCAGAGACAATCCATATTCAACCATAATACAGAACACCAGAGAAATCCAGATTCCACATATAAAAAGCCTCCTGATTACAGCCTCTCATTTAAATTGTAAACCAAACGCCGGAAACAAGAGAAGTTAAACTAAGCAAACTCAAACCTACCCAAAAGAACATGATAAAGCAACAGACACAATTATATTCAATGAAGAGATCAGAATTATGAGTTGGAAGAAAATTACCCTGGAAATCTATCAGATGATCTACAGTATATGATTGCCCTCAAATAGGATATTGAATACGAATCCAAAAGGCAAGCTATCACGGTCCCCTTCAAAGAAATTGTTGTCTTTAGAGGCTAGATTTGTAATTAAATAACCAAATGTCCAAAAATGAAAGTTTCAAACACTGTAGAATATTTTTGGCCAAAAACAAAAAACTGTAGAATGATAGTTTGGAACTTTTGTCCGAGTCCTAGTCCAGCAATAACGCAAACTGCTCTTGGAATGTTATGCAACTGGAAGAAAATATCAGGAAACGGGCGTTCATAAACATATATAAGTTTTGTCCTACATAATTTCCAAACTTTAAGTAGAGAAGAAAGCAAAAAAGAAAACTGAAAATCTCCTTGAAAAAGAACACATGGAACAGAAGTGGGGATTTCAGAACCGTATGGAAATTGGCCTGAAATCGAAATGAAAAATCCTCAGAGAACCACTATGACGCAAGAGGACACTCAGAATGAAATAACAAAAAGCTCAGATCACGATCATAGTGGAGTAGAATAGATGGATAGTTATGGAAGAGAGGGGGAGAAAGAGAAGAGTGGAGAGAGAGAACATACCGAAAGTTAGAGAGAGAGAGGCAATCAGATGATTGAAGAGAGAGAGAGAGAAGGTGGATATACCTGAACTTTATTATGGAGATAGGAAAGAATTGACGGCTTACAGATAAATGATAATGGAGTATTCTTGTGATCTCAAAATACCAGAAGTTTCTACGAATTCTAAGACAACCCCACCAATTACTGCACAACAACCAGACAAATTTTCACCCAAAATACGATCTTATCCAAACCTAATTTTTAAGTCCCGCAAACTTACTTCCGCAGAAAAGTTGTTCAAAGTTTAACAGCCGAAACAGCATTCAACATTCATCTAATTCAAGAGAAAAATAAGTGAGAAAGCTGAAAAACATAGAGAAACCTGATCAAGCGTGGTGGGTATTCTTCTATGGTTCCTCCATTTGACCATCTCGCTGTTCTTCTTCTTAAAGAAGAGGGTGAATCTGATAGCCGAGACAATAAACACGTGAAGCAACGCGCACAACGCATATAAGACATGGATTTGAGAGGAAGACGTCAACAGAAATGCAGGACATTGAATAAACAACACAGAAAATGACGCAGCCGAGTGAAGAGAGAGGCTAAAACAAAGAGACAGGAAGTAACAGTGAAGCATACCAAAATCAAGATCTGAGAGATTGGTGAGATCTATTACTGCTCGGGGGAACGGCCGCGTCAGCAGCAGTATTACATTTTTATTTTTTTTTTTTGACCACCACCAGCAGCAGCAACACAAGTTGAATTCTCATTCTACTCTTTTCTGTTTATAAAGAAGTTGGATTCTTTTTTTCCCCCTGGATGAGTAAAGAAGTTAGAGTGCTTTTTAAAAATAAGAAATGCCCAGATTATAAAAATGTTTTAAAAAAATATATAGAATAATATTTCACTTTTATCTTTATTGTTTTAATGGTATTTATGTAATTTGAGAAAATATCTCCTCCTTGGTTGAGATTATTTTTACAAAATTATATAACCAGATTGTTTAAATATGCTTACATAAAATTCCTTATCTTTTCCTATTTCAAGTTTGATTAAATTTTAGAAACGGTGGGATTTTATTATGCATTGACTGAACATTATTTCTCATTTAGTCTTACTCCTTCCGTTTTAAATTATTAGACACACATCCTAAAATATAAAACATTTTAAAAATATTAAAGTTTTATTAAATATGCTTATTTTAATATTATTCTTTCTCTCTTAGTAATTAATTTATGTCCATTCTTTTTTTAATGTATTGCATGATGAGTATTTTTAAAAGTTTATATTTTTATTTTAAAAAATAAATAGTTAAATTTCTTTAATAATTTTATTAATATGTGAGATTTTATTTAAAAATATCTTATAATTTAAGATAAATAAAGTATTAAATGCTGAAGTTTTTATTGGATTCGCAGCCTATGTAAGGCTGGCATGCTGAAGGATCAAATCACACTGGCCTTTAAGTTTTCGAGCTCTCTCTTCTTCTCTCATGCTACATGGCTTCATTTGTGTTGCTCTGTGCATGTGTTATGTTGTTTCTTTTTCATGTTATGTGCCCGTGTTTATTGTGTAGGAGTCTAGGATGGTTCTTTTAATTTTAAGGAGCTATCACATGCAACTGGTGCGATAGAATAACTTTTAATGATAGTGTTATTTAAACACGACTGGAACTAAGGTCTGCATTGCTACTACCAACATAATGTGTGAGTGAAACAGTAGTTCCTATGAATTTGATTATTAGTATATTTAGTTAATAAATATGATGAATATATTTAGTGAAAATAAAAATAAATAAAGAAATATTGTATGGAGCTATCTTAATACACAAGGATATATTGTTACCCAAAAAAAATAGAGGATATATAAAATAAATATATAACGTAACAAATTATTAATTTTTTTTATGGAAAACCAAATAGGCAAATATATTAAACAAATTTTGGGTCTTGTATAAGGATTCAATCCATAAGAACGTGACAACCAATGTCTAAATTCTTATTAGGAGATGTGTTTATATCGAATGTCTAACTATATTTTAAACATAATTGTCTCCAATAAAATACTTCAATAAAACAAAAGGTTATATTATGAGAAATAAAATTATGTGAGGTTATTAAGTATCAACATTAACTTTTACATGGAGACTTATAATTATGAGAGATTGGATTGTCTATAATTTTTTGAGTGTGTTTTTAGAAAGCTAAAAGAGTTAAATCCTAAACATAAAAATGAAATTACGGTGGGAGTCCTAAATAAAGTAATGTTTGGTACATGTGAATTAAAACTCTCAAAAATCCTAATTTCATGAAAAACCCCTGAATTGGATTTCTTGCTTAAAGCTATACAATTTGGGCCAATTCCATAAAATTTTATTTTTAAGACAATTTTATTCTCATAAAAAATTGAATTCACACCCTTGGCCCGTGAGTCAAGCATAAATTTTGTGTGTGTCAGAAGCTTCTGGTCTTTCAAATCTAGGACTAACTTTAGCTAAAAAAAAAAAGTGGTAGCTAAGTTTCTTCCTTTAGCTTTTTTTTTTTTGCCACTTTTATTTTGTTTTTATGTTCTTTATTCTAGTTTTATTGTAGGCATAGAAGTCTATATATAAATTATAATACATCTATATATATATAATATAGTATTATATATTTGTATATTTATAATATTTCTTTTATAAACTATTTTACTTATATATATATAATATTTTATTTATATGCTAAACATGTGAGGAAATCAAAATTCAATCAAGCTTTTAATATATATTTATTTTAATTTATTCCAATGTGTTACATACCAAACAAAACTAGTATGAAGATTTCATTTATTTTTTTAATATATTAAACAAACTTTTAAAATTTAATTATATTTTAATTTTAATTTCAATTCTAATTTTAAAATTTTAATTTTAATTTCATCAAAAACTCTTCTATTATACTAAATGAGGCCTAAAAAAATTTAAATATTATTTTTTTTATTTTAAATTATAAGACACTTTTAAAAAAATTTAATATTTTAAAATATAAAATATTTTAAAAAAATTAAGTTTTTATTAAATAAATTTATTTTAATATAACTTTTTCTCTTTTTTTATAATTAATTTTTATCTTTTTTTAATATAATAGTATTAAATAATAGATATTTTTAAAATTTTATATGTTATTTTAAAAAAATAAAATTATTAAATATATTTAATAAAATTTATTAACATGTTTAATTTTATTTAAAAATATTTTATAATTTAAAATAAAAGAAGTATACTTCTTATAAAATTATCCTTAAAATGCTGAAATATTATTTTTTCTGACATGATGGGAATATTTTTTGCATGATTTTTTGTGCCCTACATTAAAAAAACATTAACATCTATGAGATGGTGATGATTTTGGTTGCTGCTTGAAGGGTCGCTTGACCTGACATTTGTCTCCCCCAAACTTTAATTTATTGTGGACTGTACGTCCGTACCACAATGAGGGTTTTTTTTTAATAAATTTATTAAGCTTTGCATACAAGGACAATATTCATCGGTTTAAAAAAAGTAAAATATTTTTAATTAAATGTTATTTTAATAAAATAATTATTATTTTTAAATTAATTTTATTTTTATATATTTATTTTTATTAAACACCTTACAATAAATATAAATTATTTATTAATAAGAACACTTTAAAAAAAGATAATAATTACACCTCAAAAAACTAAAAATGTCTTACAATTTTTAATATTCAACCCTTCAAAAAATACCTTATATTTTTTAACAGAGAGAGTAATAAAATTTTTTAAATTATATAATAATAATTTAATTTCTCAAAATATCATAATTTTATTAAAATTTTTAAATACTTTTGTTTCAATAAATTTTAAATTAAAAAATTATTTTACCCTTATTAACAAGTTATGATTTTTTTTGTTCAATTCTTGCAATTTTTAAATAAAAATTATTATTCATTAAATAAAAATTATGATTAAGTCTTGTTATTTTGAGAATATGTTTTTCAATAGCAGAAATTCTACTTAACAATATATAATTTTTCATTCAACTTTTACAATTTACAAAATAAAAAATTATTTCTTAAGCAAAGTTATAATTAGGCTTGTTATTTTGATATAAAAATTACACTTGATAAATTATGATTTCTTATTCAATATTTACTATTTACAAAATAAAAATTGTTATTTCTTAAATAAAAATTGAGATTGAGACTTGTTATTTTCAATAGAAATAAAATAATTTTTTTACTTTAAAATTTATTGATACAAAATTTCCTACAAACTTCAATGAATTTTAGTATTTTGAGATATTAGATTATCATTTATATAATTTGAAGGATTTTATTATCATTTTCTCATATATGTAATGTTTTAGAAACCCAATCGAATAATGAACCGAAAATATCAATAAATTATGGGTCTCATGGGTTAATCGATAGCATAATAATTCAATAAAAATAGGTCAAAAAAGTTCAACCACTTCAAGGCTCGAGTTTTTACTCAGAGTTAATACGATCAACCTAAGTTAACAGTTAAAACAGGCCAAATGATTGAATCAGAGATCATTTTTTTTTTTGGATGACGATTTAATCAATCCGATCATCCAGATTGGTCTAGTCTGAAAACAATGCGTACATATACATGACATGATTTTAAGCAAGAGGACCCCAAATTCATATGCCTGCAATTCCTCAAAATGGACAAATAACTATTTGTCAATCTTCTCAAAATAGGGACCAGTTTCGGCAATTTGGGATGAGTGAAGGGTGTCAATATCTCAAATCATCTAAAAATTGTCCAAAGAGTATATAAATCTATATACCAAGATTGTATTGCCACCACAAGTTCAAAATCTACGGAACAAAGATGTGAGTCAGCACCAAACAATGAATTCAGGCATTATAATATATACCTACACACAAACGTTACCATTATATCAATAAATCATTTTTTATTAGTTAAAAAAGCTTTAAAATTTATTAACTTTTTTAAAGAAAAAA